AGACTGACTGGGCGGTAATTATTTGGGTCCTCTCTTTTCCCCTTTTTGAAAATAGGTACAACATTTGCCCATCAGGGCAAGATCGGAGAGGGAGAGGACAATGCTGATGCCCAGCAAATCGCCTGAAGAAGCTAGCATAGCCTAAAGTGAACTGCATCTGTTGAACAGAGCCCTTTTCGTTTTGCAAGCCTTTCCTCAACTGGGAAGGGTCCAGTTTTTAAGAAGACTTGGTTCCCCTTCGTTGTTGTTGTTGTTGTTGTTGTGGTGGTGGTGGTGGTGGTGGTTGCTATTGCCCTCCACCCAGCAGTATCCCTAAGCGCCTATTCCGTGGCAGGGAGGCATGCCAGACAGAGCCAGGCTTCGTAAGCGCTGCCAAGAGCGCTTTCTAAGATCATATGCGAACTTTATTTGGAGAGTGGGAGGGGAGAGGGCTGGTAGCTGGCTCCAGGGCCTGTCGCTGCCTGCAGCTGGGATATTGTGCCTCTCCTTGTCAGCGCTAAAGAAAAACGCGGCGGCTTCTTTATTATTACTATTTTTCTGCTTAAAGAGGGGGGTTGAGAAGGGAGGTCTTGGGAGAGCAGATGAGGGTCGGGGTAGCCGTCAGGAGCTCGCGGCCCGAGTTAGGGGGACGGGGCGTAAATCCACGTGCCGCTCTCCCCGGAGACCCTCGGCCCTTCGTTTTCCAGGCGCTTTTGCCTGCCTGCGAGTCCCTCCGCTTCCCGGTCATTGGGCAGCCGCTGAAGGGGGCGGGCTCTGCTGGGCTTGTTGTTTGTGCTGGGCCTGCCCGCCCACAGGCTGGCTTTTAAGCCTCGGCCTGCCGCCCTTGCTGAGGCGAGGAGGCGGTCGCGCGCTCTGAGCAGCAGCAGCAGCGGCACCAGCAGCTCCTCCTCCCCGTGACCCGAGCTAGTAGGCATGCAGCTGGCCAGCACAGCCAACCGGACCTCGGGCTTCTGCTGCAACCACTGCGGAAGCCAGCAGTGCCGCAAGGTAAAAAAAAAGAGAGAAAAGGGGGGGGGGGCTTGAACCAGCGGGGTGCATCGGGAGGAGGGGACTCGCTTCGGGCTTGCAGGTGCTTCAGTCTGCTTGTTGTGAAGTAGAGTCGGCTCGCGCGACGCTTGTTCGGCTGTCAGTCAACGGGAGTGAAAGCGAGCGAGCCTGAGGTAGATTCAGCTGTTTACGGAAAGGCTCCCAGCTTCAGGTGTTCGTGCTGGCTTCGTCGGCGTCGCTTGGCATTTCGCCACCCCCACCCCCCACTTGCTTGCTCTTAGGCTGGGTTGCAGAAAAAGCATGTAGGGGAAGAATAGCACCTTTTGGGGAGTGGGGGGCAGATGCTGGAAGCGTTGCAGCGTTGTGAGGATCTGCTTCTGAATCCCCTGGTTTGCCGTATTGGCGTGTTCTTGAAGCCTCATTTGGTCCTCCTGCGAAGAACCTAACAAAGGATGACTAGCTTGTAAAAGATCCTCTTCTGTAGTTTCAACAGACCTGGGAAAGCAATTCTACATAGGGTCAAGGGGAATTATTTAAGTGTCATTGTTGTTTTTAAAAGTTGTTGGGTGTGCTTCGAAACTGGGTATTGCAGCCCGTTTTAATGCTTAAATGTCGGTATTGTTTTGTTTGTATTGTTTATTCATGGGTGGCAATATTTCTCCCTTGAAAGCCTCCTGCAGCTTTATTTTGGAAGGGCTCAGGTGTTTGGAGGACAAAGCTGATTTTTGCTACGTGCATGTTCTAGAGTAGCACACAAAAGATGTGATAATAGCTATGGGGTAGCCAACGTGGTGCTCCCCAGTTGATTCTGGATTAAAACTTTCATTATCCCTGATCAATGGTCATGATGCTTGAGACTATTAGAAGCTGAAGTCCAATAACAAGGTGGAGGGCACAGCACTGTCTACCCCTGCACTTACTTTTCAAGTCCCAAACACAAACTTAATCAACAAATGAAAAACCACTGTAATAGTCTGCAGTCTTTTCAAAACCACCTTCTAGTATAAAGTGTACTGCTCAAGTTCCCTTCTGTGGTTAGAATTTTTGGAGAATGTGGGGAAAACTTAGTAAAAGTGTTGATGGGGAAATTAAATGTGGAACTTCACATCGAACCACAATATCAGTTTATGAATAACAGTAACTAATGCTAGAATTTTCCAGTCTCCTGCATTCTTACATATCAGAAATATAACTTTGGAGACATCACAATGATCTTAGTAGTACTTCTCTTAACTAAAAGTAATTATTTATGCATGCATGACTGTAGTTAAGAACGTAAAAACATTATGAAAACGGGAGTTGAAATATTAGCAGTAAATTACAGTACAATTTTGACAGCATATTGATAAGCAATTAAACTACTTGATTTATGTCTGAACTTAGTTGGAATGTTTAACATTTATATACAGGCACTACAATATTTTCTCAATTTCTAAAAAGTCCTCTGAAAGCATCAAGTGCCAAAATTGTAAATAACCGGCAAATAATTTAAACATCTGAAAGTGATGTAAGTTGTCAGTCATGAATCATAATGTTATTCAGAGACTAGGCTACAGTGGGAACAGTGTGTGTGGATAACATCTCTGACTAAGCAAAGAGAAGCTCGTTGACTGTCTACCTTACTTCCCTGTAAGTAGTGAGAGGCATGCCATTTTTATGCACAAGAGGGACAAAAAAATAGTATGCCTCTGAGTCTAGATAGCTCTCTTGGAGACAGTACCATTATTGTCTCAAGCTGAAATGAAAACATGAATTTTCAGTGTGTATCAGTTTGTGTAAAGATGTCAAATACTTTAATGCAATGACTGCAATGCAATGCCTCTCACTGCATGAAAGTATAACTGGTAGCTGACATTAACGGTGTCATGATCAGTGAGTTATTGTCTTCAAGTGACATTTGAACAAGGCATGGAAGTTTTAACTTGCTCTCACGTAACTAAAGAGGTACAATACTGTGGTTTTATAAAACACACATTATTTCTGTACTGAAAAGTGAGAACAAGAGAATTGGAAATATCTACCCATGGCTGGAACCATGGGCGGCTCCAACACCAAACTAGTTCAGTTTCAGTTTAACATAAGAAGCGCCTGCTAGATCAGGCCCATCTAGTTCAGCATCATGTTCTCACAGCAGCCAACCAGATGCCTGTGGGAGGCAGGACCTTAGGACCAAAGTGCATGTGCCTCCTGTGGTTCCCAGCAACTGGTATTCAGAAACATACTGCATCTGACCATGTGGGCAGAGTGTAGCCATCATGGCTAGCAGTCATTGACAGCTCTTTCCTGAAGGAATTGTTTAATCCTCTTCTAAAGCTATTGAAGTTGATGGCCATTGCTTCCTCCTGTGGGAGCAAATTCCATAGTTTATGCATTGCGTGAAGAAGTACTTTCTTTTATCTATACTGAATACTGAAGCATTCAGCTTCACTGGATGTCCACAACGTCTAGCATTATGAGAAATTGCTAAAGCAGTTAACATAGTGTTGGCTCCTTTGGGAAGAAGGATGGAGTAAACATGTTTTTGTGTGTGTGTGTCTGGAAGAACTTCGTGACAGTAAGAGCTGTTTGATTGAGAGTGGAATGGATTCCCTCAGAAGGTTGTGGACTCTCCTTCCTTGGAGGTTTTTGAGCAGAGGTTGGATGGCCACCTGTCAGGGATTTTTAAGCAATGATTCCTGAATTGCAGGGGGTTACACTAGATGCCCCTTGGGAGTGCCTTCCAATGCTACGCTTCTCTGATTCTAAGCCAGTAAGCAATATAATAATCAAATATAGTGTAAAGGAATCTCAGAAATACAAAAGAAATCAAATCTACATACCAAATAGAACTTAACTGTGTCTCAAAAAACTATGTAGTCTAAAAATAGAATACAAAATATTAAGTCAGGTACAAATATTTTTAAACAGCATTACCCTGAGCTGTAAAAAATGATGCCTAACTGCTCATCAGACCAACTGCTACAAACAGCAAAAAGAGCAAGGAAGCAGGGGAAGAGAAAGAAAACGGGGGAGGGCAGGAGAACAAAAGAAAATACAAGATGAGGGGATTTTAATCATCATCATCATCAATTTGGATGCAGCTGGTTTCAGTCTTCCCCTTCTGATGTTAGCCCAAGGATAGTGCCTCTCCCTGTTCCCAAACTGCTCAGCATCTCCCAGAAGCAGGGGTTGAGCAGCACTCTTTGAATAAGTCTGTGGGCCTGGTGTTTCAGATAGGCCACAGCAGGTTTCAGTTTCCCCCCCTTTTGACTATGTAGTCGCACCACACAACGATTGGCCCTGATATAGGTATGCAGATGGCTTTTTCTAATCACATTAATTGTAAAGGTATATGGCAAGTCCACTCACTAATTTTGTAATGCATGCTGTGGCCCTTGCCAAAGGTTCTTGCCAAATATTTTCCCACTGTCTGCTGACTTGTAGGATTCTAGTTGTGCACTGGAGTCTGTTGATTCTTTTAGTGAAAGTATTGTGGTAGATGTGTTTCAGATTGGCATGAAATTTCAGTCTGAGAAATCATTGCTTGTTTGTCATTTTTAAACAGTGAACTTAAGAACACAGTTGCATATACTTTTGTGGTTGATGCATGTAACTCCCACACTCATGCAAAAACCTTCGATAAGATTACAGCTGTGTCGCTTCCTGAAAGATACTGACAGATTTCATATTCTGGTTTGCGGATGTGCAGAGAGGTACTTCAAAAGCCTTTAGTATCACTGACATTAGTCAACTGGCAGCTGTGAGCTGAACTCCTTGTTCTGGACACTTTGCCAAGTGCTTTATGCAAAACTAGGTTTGCAGTGAACCAGGTCTCATTGTTTTTAATGGCATCAGTATAGTATACTGTAAACAAGTGTGGCTTGTTATGAAGCACAGATAGAAAATTTCCACAGACAGCACTTCTGCAACAAGGACAGTTCTGTTGGTTTCAGTGTTGAATTCTTTCTTTCCCCTGAAACCACAGCTGAAATGTTTATAGCTAAAAGTTCAGATAGTGCAATTTTCTTTTCTAGGAACTTGGAATTAGGATCCCTAGACCACTGGGACAAGGACCAAGCAGATTCATCCCAGAGATGGAGGTGCGTGGTGATTTACGTTTTGCAAGTACACAGAGAACTTGTTACATTTTTTGGTGGTGGTGAATCTAGTATTGGCTGAGGAACAGCTGCAAAGTATTATTCACATGTCCACAGTAAATCATCAGGAGTTTGGCAAGAATTCTGCTGAATTAGAAAACAGTAATGTCCATGTGGAATTTTGATATTTAATGGCACACTCATACTAGCTTGTCTTAATAAACCCAGTGTTGTTTGGATACTAGGTAAGGATTAGCTTGCCCTTTAATTGTAGTGGACATGTATGTTTGTTTAAATCTAATTAACCAGCATGTTTTTAGTGCATAGTGTGAGTGTATGAGAGAAGGTGAACAAGTGATGTTCCTGGGCTACTTCACACGCTGGCTGATATAAAACTTGGGTGGTAAAAAGAGGCTTTATCAATGTGGCTTTGGTTAACATTACGCCAAGCTTAGTAGTCATAAACATGTTTCCCACAACAGCTAACTATTTAAATAACTCAGCATTTTGGGGTACTACTGTTGCCTCTTTATAGGCTAGCATACTGCCCTTCAATAAATATATGTTCCCTGTCCACTTATCTCTGTTAAAAATTTATATAAAGCTTGAGGTTGCAGGGAACCAGGCAGAGGGCTTTCTCAGTAGTGGTGCCCACCCTGTGAAACACCCTCCCATCAGATGTCAAGGAAATAAACAGCTATCAGACATCTGAAGGCAGCCCCATATCAGGAAATTTTTAATGCCTAATGATTTACAATTTTTTATATATGGTGTAAGCTGCCCAGAGTGGCTTAGGAAAGCCAGCCAGATGGGTGGGGTATAAATAATAAACATATTATTACACGTTATTGATCCAGCACACAATTTGCTATACTTGGGGATTCACTAAAGTCCTTCAGCTATGAGAAGCATCTCATTTGGTATATTAAGATTTAACAACTAATTTGGAGCTAGTAAATATTAACAAATATTCATATTGGCTGCTATGTCTTTATTTCTTACAATGTTTTGCCACTATTCTTTTTCTAATTCAAACAGATTATCCAAGTGAGCGCTGAAGATACCCACATGCATGCTTTGTTTGCAGAGTCTTTCACAACTTTAGGGCATTTGGACAACATTGCCCTGGTGATGGTTTTCCACCCACAGTACCTGGAGAGCTTTTTAAAAACTCAGCATTATCTGTTACAGATGGATGGCCCACTGCCTCTTCACTATCGACACTACATTGGTATCATGGTAAGTTAAACTATGAAACAGAAAGCAATGGCAGTATTTTGTACATCTTTTAAAGTTTCTATATCAGATATGGCTGTACTTAAGAGAAACTTAGTATCTTTGCAATCTCTTTGGCACTAAACTAAAAAACATGTATGCTCACCCATGCATTTTATTCTTGTGTGTATTTTAATAATTTAATTTTTGTTTCTTTAAAATGCTTAAGTGACTGTACAGTCAGAAAATTCTAAATTGAATGAAGGGTGTGTATAAAATATAAATGAAGTTTGTTAATTTTGTGGGAATTCTGTGTTCATACTGTGGCTAACCTGTAGCCCTTTGGTAATATTGAGCTCCAATTTCCATCAGCTCCAGCCAGCATGACCAGTGGATGGTAATGATGTGATTTCAAGTCGAACAACATCAGGGGCCCACCGATTAGGCATCTCTTGTGCATGTTTGTTGTGTATATTAGTCAGAAAGTATTGGAACAAATGTGTTTAATTTTTGCAATCTGGAACACTTATTTCTAATATTTCTACTTTATAATTTTTCAGTGGCTAGAATGGCTAGAATAGCAGAGGAATTATTTAAGGTATTCTAGCTGGTAGTGGTCAGCGGAACAGGGTAGCTGCACTCACCTGACTTCCTGTTACCCATTCCACTGCTGCTTACTGAGAGCTAGAGGTGGGAATGACAAAGGCATGGTGCAAACACACGGATTGGCTCTACAAGTGCATTTGTACCTTGCTGCTGCCTCTCCCCTCCACCTCCTGGTGACCACCAGCAGCAAGGGTGACAGGAAGGTGAGGTGAGTGGCCTCATCCTGTCAGCTTCTACTTATTCTGGCAGTTCTGTTTGCCCTGAACAAATCTGATTGCAGCAGTGGGGAAAAGGTTTCACTAATCTAAATCTCCTCTCCAAGCTGCTATTAGTTCTTCCTAGAAAGTACCGTATTTTTCGCCCTATAGGACGCACTTTTCCCCCTCCAGAAATGAAGGGGAAATGTGTGTGCGTCCTATGGGGCGAATGCAGGCTTTCGCTGGAGCCTGGAGAGCGAGAGGGGTCGGTGCGCACTGACCCCTCTCGCTCTCCAGGCTTCAGGAAGCTATCCGCAAGCCTTCGGTTCCCACCGGGCTCCCAAGGCTTGCGGACAGCAGCCTGAAACCTGGGGAGCGCACCCCAGGCTTCGGGCAGCTCTCCACAAGCCTTCTTTGTTCCCCCCCCAAAAAAAACACCTAGGTGTGCCCTATGGGCCGGTGCGCCCTATAGGACGAAAAATTATTTATAGGTTTCCCCCCCTCCAAAGAAAACAAATGACTGAAATGTGCATAATTCAAGGCAAACAATAGGGAGTTTTTTTTGGGGGGGTAGATTTAGATTAGTGAAATAACGTAAGAGAGGAAAAGGTTTAAACAGCTTCTTTCCGAGCACTTTTGCTGCAATCAAATTTTGCCTCATGGCTGCTTTTAAGCAAAATCTAAAATGGCAAGAGACCCAGTCACGCATCTTTTAATACTTTGTAGTTGGCTCATTTGTGACCAAATAATTTAAGACTGTCTGTTGAGGTTCTAGTATTATTGCTGCAGCTTTCCAGGAAATCTGTCGAACAAAGAGAATGACAGTTGTGGGAGGAAACATCTAATGATGGCTGTTGTTAAAACAGTGTTCAAGCTGTTTTCTCTAGCCTTCATGTATGAAAGGGATTGGAGGAACTAGACTAAAATAGCAGAACCAAAGTATCTCTGATATATTTAAGTTAAAATTATGGGCTGCAATCTTATATAATTTTACCTGTAACAAAGTGGCCCTTTTGTGCAAGGACGTCTTGTGTAAAAGAATTTGCCCTTCCTCTTACACCCCCTCCCCCTGCATGCCCCCTAAATGTGTTCTGGGGACGTCCTCCAATCCTCTGGAGCAAATTGGGAGGGGGTTGCAAGGAGATAAGGGAGGAGGAGTTCTGTTGCTTGAGTATTTGTGTGGAAAGAACAATTTCATTGGATGCAACCAGTCAGTGGGACTTGATTCTGAGTACACTGGCTTATAAAGTGAATACATTTGTATATGGTAAAGAAATAAAAGTTGCTGTTGTACTGCTTTTGCCATATACAAAGCACATACAGAAATAAACCACTATGCAAACAAAATACATAAACATTACTACACAGGCAGGTTTTTTGTTGTTGTTTCCCATTCTTGAGCATAGCTATACTCTGTAATTATCCATATTGATAGGCAAGGAACTTCCCTGCAGGGAATCTCTGAGTTTGATAGTTCTTGTGCTTGTTTTTCCTCCAGGCTGCAGCTAGGCACCAGTGCTCCTACTTGGTTAACGTCCATGTCAATTGCTTTCTTCATGTTGGGGGAGACCCTAAGTGGTTGAATGGTCTAGAGAATGCACCTCAAAAACTGCAGAATTTGGGTGAATTGAATAAAATCTTGGCGCACAGACCATGGCTCATTACCAAAGAACATATTGAAGTGAGTATTTTATATATTTATTTATTTACTTACTTACTTACATATAAATACTATATATGTAAGCTCCCTTAATATTTTTATTTATTTTTTGATTTAGAGCTTTTCAAGCGTCTAGTATTTTAATCCATACCTTTTTAAATATTTGCTACCACGTGCTGTGTCATAAGATGCTAAAACATTCAAATCATCTTAATAGAAACACAAGTGCTAAGTGTCTGTACTGAACAACATTCTTACTTGGAAATTCTATTTACTACTGGGATACCAGCTGGTTTTTTTTGGGGGGGGGCATAGCATAGTACTGGGTACTTGCCAAGTCTTGATATATAGCTCTCAGATGGATGGACACCATCCTTAAACTATGATTCATGTTGTTCGCATAGAGCACCTGATGCTGAAGGATCATTTAGGGACATGGTAGGTTCAAGTGCTCTTTCTTTCCTTTCCTTTCTTTCTTTTTCTCCTTTTTGAACCCTGAGATTAACTATCTAATGTTGATTTCCATTTGTCAAAACAAAACTGAATTATTATTTTTAACTAGCTCTCATTATACTAGACAGTATCATTTTAGTGTATCAGTGACTAATTTGTCCCTGAACCACCTGACCTTAGATACTTTAAAAAGTAATTAGAAATTAGTGTTTAGAATTATTTGGTCTCCCTTTGCTTAGCTAGCGTACATTTGTTTCAAAATTATCTAAACTACCTTCAACTTTGATAATAGAGCAATATCATGTATAAAGTTGCAGCACTATAATCTTGCTCATGGGTATTCAGTCCCTGCATTTAGTAGGATCTTTCTGATAGAAAAGCATGAGTGTGTGTCATGCTGGAATCATCTGTGGCCTTATTGTATAATCAGATTTGTGAGGTAGCTACAAGCAAAGTTTCTAAGAGAACTTGTAAATCTTTTTTCCTCCTGAAGCAACTTCTGAAGACTGAAGAACATAGCTGGTCCCTGGCAGAACTGATCCATGCTGTAGTTCTCCTTACACATTATCATTCGCTTGCGTCCTTCACATTTGGCTGTGGAATCAACCCAGAAATTCACTGTGACGGTGGTCACACATTCAGGCCACCTTCTGTCAGTGGCTACTGCATTTGTGATATTGCAAATGGAAATCATGGTGTGTATGAGACGCAGGGCCCAGCTGCAAATATTGCTGTAAGTATTTCACCTATATTAAGTAAGTTACATACATGAACATTTTCCCCAGCATTTCCACTGGTAGTGAAGTATATGTACATGAAAGTATATGGAAAATCCCAGTAGCACTTTTTTATTCATTGGGGGTGGGGGCACAAATCAGTGACTTTTCAAAGCAGCAAATGTATTTGTACTTGTATGAATGTAGAAACTGTATTTGTATTTTCTGAAGCAAACGAATCAGGGAAGCCCAGTTAGACCAAGGTCCCTAAATGTGGATAACGTACAGCAGGCATAGGCAAACTTGGCCCTCCAGATGTTTTGGGACTAAGACTCCCATCACCCCTAGCTAACAGGACCAGTGGTCAGGGATGATGGAGGTTGTAGTCCCAAAACATCTGGAGGGCCGAGTTTGCCTATGCCTGACGTACACACTTGATATGGAAAATACAAGTGTCAATTCAAGAAATTTATTTGCCGTGAGAGGTGTGAAGCTGATCTGAGTTTCCCAAAATTAAACTGAAATTGTTCAAGTCCTCACTAATTTAATACGATGGTTTAGTTCAGGGGTCGGCAACCTAAGGCCCATGGGCCACAAGCAGCCGACAGGGGTCGTTTAACCAGCCCACGAGCTGCCTGCTCAGCGAGTCCCCATGTGCTGTGCTAAACCAGCACAGTGTGGGGACTCGCTTCCGCGGTACCGAAAATTGTGGGCGTGATCTGGCCCACGGAGGGATCTCCACTGGAGTGAACTGGCCCAAGGCAAAGTAAACCTTGCCAACCCCTGGTTTAGCTGGTCTAGTGACTTTTGCCATTGTCAAAAACAATGTATCACTGAGAATTATTAAAAGGTTCCTAAGGTGAGAAACAGGCTTACCATGAAGCAGATTCCAACTCCCAAGAATGCACATACACTTTGTATGTATGTGCATTATTATTATTATTATTATTATTGACAACACAATAATGTGAAAAGCAGTCCTAATGAATTTCAGTTATAAAAAACACATCACATTTCACAAGTGAGATGTTTAATCAGTAATGTTGCTATCTTTTGCGGGTGGGGGGTGAAGTACTAGCAGGAATAGAGCATTTGTTTTAATTATTCCTAACATCTTTTACATCAAAATACAGCCTGAGAACAAGGTGATAGACAGAAATTGGATGTTATGTCACTTATGTTGGATGTTATATCAACTAAATTTTCTTGTAGGTATGTGATGCCAATTTTAAATGTAGCTGTTGTCTTTTTTGTTAATAGCATTTTAAGAATGTGCAACCTTTTATTGAAATAGCCATTTTAAAGAACTTTAGATCTTTGGACAGCATTTTGCACAAGCTGCAGCTTTTGGACAAAACTTAATAGGATGTACTTCAGCTACTAATGCATCAAACACTGTAGCCAGGTATCCCTGTCCAAAAACAGCTATAACTGTTAATTCTGCATTACATCATTGCATAATAAATAGAATATCCACAAAACTGAGGGCACCATTGAATTTAAGGTAGTAAGCAGGGAGGCATAGAACTGGAACATAGTATAATGCTTATACTTACCTGTGACTGTATACTCTCAGTACAATATCCCAATGCATTAGAATATTGGTGTTTTTTTAAAGATCACTGAGCCTTTCTGTGAAGTAGAAGCACTTATGGAAAAACTGAAGCAACTACAGGAATGCAGAGATGATGTTAAAGCCAGTCAAGAAGAAAAGGCCACTCGTTTTGAGAAGGAAAAGAGAGAAAGCATGTTGGTGTGTTGCTCAGGTGGGAACATAGTTAAAGTCAACATATCTTTAAAAACCATCTTGGCTTGTGGCGCATGTCTTAGTGTTGCCTATCAAGTTAGATAGTAAAATGCTTTTGTCAATTCCAGATCACAGCAAGTTTCCACTGTCATGAACAGATAATGAAACACATTAAAAACACCGATCTCCTTTATAACTCAAAATCTTAATTACAAGTTAATCAGTTCATCTGGGTAGTTGCCCAAGACACAAACCTACGCATGTAGGGAGGTATGTTGCCAAGGGATGTGTGTGTTGTCATGCCCCACCCAGTGTGTCTACTGCTTAATTAAGGTGACCCTTTCCCACTGGCTGTCAGCTAACCCTAGCAGCAGAAGAGAGCCCTGGCCTTCCCTACTTGGAACAGCCACCTAGAGTCGTTTATTTCATTCGTTAGGCACCTACAAAAAAAAGTCCAGGTATATTAAAATGAAAATACAAACCCAGCAACAAGCAGATTGCACCTAGCACTGTTGAGGTGCACTTTATTTTGGAGCATAATGGGGTGTGGGTGTATGGACTTTGTTTCCATCAACACTGTTGATTGTACCAAGACTACAGCTAATCTTATGTACCTGATCATGCTTGTTACTTCTATGAGTCTGGAGTTTATGGCCTCCCAATGGGGAGTGAGTCTGTATCTGGCTGTATCTGGAGTGTTGCCATACCAACACAGGGAAAGCATTAAATATTTGGAACTGTTTGCCATTAACATGTATACATGATTAGGTGGAAATACGCAGGCAAAATAGTACTTGAAACTAAAGATGTCCTCCTTTTGCTATACTTTGGTTTTACTCCAATCTTAAATTCTGTTTATATCCTCCTTTCCACTGCCATAAAAACCTAGAAGCAGGATGTTGCTAGTTGTTGACATGGTTTTCTGTAGCATTCATTTTTTATTCTATCTTAGAACGTTTAGTATTGTTGTGTCAGTGCAGTGTCATGTCAAGAGCACATGGATGCAAGGACATACCCAATGAAAAACTAGTGTAGTGGTGGGCTGCATGTGATTCCAAAGTTTGGCTGAAATCCTAAAAATGCTGCCATTCAACTTAAAGCAACGATGTGTTTCAATCCCATCTGACCATACTAATGAGCTTGAAATGTACAGCATGAAATGCTAAGACCAGAAACAAGAAGACTTGTTACTAATTCCTGGCCCTGTATTTTTTTCTGTTCATCAAGTCAGATGTAGAGAAATTATATGCTCACGACTTGCATTAATATGTGGATGTTATTTATTTTATTTATATACTGCCCTTCATGGTTCGCAGCATAAAAATACAAAATAAGTGAATAAACACAAAATACAGAGTTATGGCCTTGAATTTCACATAGCTGAGGGATAGGGAACTGGTGGCCCTCTCTATGATATTGACTACAAGTTCCATCAACCCTGACCATCAGTCACACTGGCTGGGGCTGATGGGACTGTAGTCTGAACAACATCTGGAGGGCTACATATTCTCTACTTCTCTACTTCTGTAATATAGGTTCAATGTTGCATTTTAAAAAATGTTTTGTCTAATAAACTATCAATTTTAATTGATTTATGTGTATATGGTCTAGAAAAGGATTTTCAAACAAGGGATACAATTTTTAAATTGTAGCCATTTGCGTCAGGGCTTTCGGTGTTAAGTTTTGCAATGTTTTGTTACATTTTTAACAGAAGATGAAGAATCTGTGCCAACAAGAGATGTGTCTCGACACTTTGAGGATACTAGCTATGGCTATAAAGATTTCTCCAGACATGGAATGCAAGTACCTACGTTCCATGTTCAGGTAAGACTTAGGTTGCAAGTAGCAAAACTTGGAAGAGTGCGCTGCATAATTAGTATTTATACACTAAGCTCATTGTAGGGCTTTGCTATTATCCTAAGAAAATAAGATAGTGTTTCCTTAAGCCATTTCAAATCCATTTGCAAGCTTAGCTTAAAACTGTGTGTATAATACAATGGCACCTTTCTTGGGAACTTGCACTCACGTACCGAATTTGTTTTTAAGGACTATTCATGGGAAGACCATGGCTATTCATTGGTAAATCGTCTCTATCCAGATGTGGGGCAGTTGATAGATGAGAAGTTTCAGATTGCATACAACCTGACTTACAACACAATGGCCATGCATAAAGATGTGGATACCTCAATGCTCAGGCGGGCAATCTGGAATTATATCCATTGTATGTTTGGAATAAGGTTGGTCCTCTTATGTGTATATGGGCAGCTTTATGGTAACGCTGTGCACTTGTTTGTTATGCTAGACATTGTTGACATTCTGAGTTTAGTATACATAACCTGTAAGGAATACTTTGCAAAACTTGCATCAAAAGTTATGTTGTCCCAAGCTGCAGCAGTCATGGATACATTAATTGGATAAGCTGATAAGGAGTTCCAGGTCAGAGCAAATAGCCTAGTGGCTTGGAATGTAATTTGCCTTAATTTGAAATAAAATAAAATAAAATGCTAGTATGGAATAGGATTTTATACTACTCTCAGGTTCATGGCCTGAAGAAATCACCAAGGAACTGGAATTATTTGTGGGTAGGGGCATGGGAAGCAGTGATCTGCAGGATAGAGAAAGGCAGAAGAAACCTGTAGGACTGTAAGCACCATGTGATAGTGCTGCTTCACACAAAGGAAGTAATCTTCCAGAGCTGTGGGAAGCAGAGAAAAGCACTGGAGAAGGGAAGTTGTTCAACTGGAGAGAGGAGGAGAAAGTATTCAGAAGGCTACTGTCATGGGGCTGTGGTTGGAGATCCACAGAAACACCTATTCCTGTCAAGTAGCTACTATGATGATTGTACTGTAATGACAAAAATATTTGTTTTTGGAGAGATAAAAGTTTTTCCCTTAATTCCAAACAGATATGATGACTATGACTATGGTGAAATTAACCAGCTACTGGACCGCAGTTTTAAAATTTACATCAAAACTGTGGTGTGTGCTCCTGAGAAGACCACAAACAGAATGTATGATAGCTTTTGGAGACAGTTCAAACACTCTGAGAAGGTATGTTCTTCCAACATATATTTTGACTTTGCTATATTGAGCAATAATGTTGCTTGACAGTTAGATAATGAGGCCAATACATTTTGTTTGCAACTCCCATGATTCTACGTAGATTTAATCTCCCATTTATTACAAACGTGTATACTTTTTTCAAATAAGCAGTGTTTGTATTTTTACATTCATAGTATGAGAGAATAAGGATTATAATGTTGGTTCACATCACTGTAGCAAGCTTGATCAAAGATCTCATTAAGGGTAGGCCTCTGCCTACTGCACCTACATAGTATGTTCTTGGATCCCAGGGAAGGCTCTACACAGTGCCTTCATTTTACATTGGCCAGCCTTATCACACAGTGAGGATGTATTGGACACTATTTCCCACTTGCCTGTCTTCTGTACACAGGATTCTAGAGGTTTAATATTTTTTTCTGTTGATTCATTTTACTACTTTCAAACAGTGACCATGGTTGTCAGATGGAGAAACATGCACTCTTTACAGATCCAGGGCCAGTAGCCACCATGCCACTGCTACTGGGTTCACAGCCTAATGAGTTGACCAGTGAAACGTTTAATCACAGAAATCCTGCATGCTTGACAACAATACTCTGGACAGGAGACATACTTGAAACTCAGCTATGTTTCTTCTCTTCTTTAAAGGTTCATGTCAATTTGCTTCTCATAGAAGCGCGGATGCAGGCTGAACTGCTGTATGCTCTGAGAGCCATTACTCGCTACATGACCTGAAATGTTTGGCTGGCTGGCTAACTGGGTTGGAAGGTGCAGCAGGTGCTGCCTACTAGGAGATGCTACCGAGCTTCGGAACCAGTGGTGGCTAAAAGCCATGAGATCGATTGTGCCATAACTTTCTTTTAGTTTCAGCTCCTTCCTTGGTGGAATATTGCTACTGGGCTTGGTGGACAAAATTGTTCAGAGAGGCTCCTTGATCACTACAGCCTGCTCTTGATAGCACAGGAAACCATGATTTGTGGCAGCCAAGTAGTTAATTACGTAAATCTTGTATTTGTTGCAAGTAGATAACAAAATCTGGGGACACGAGGAGAATTTAAAAAGACTTCTGCTTTTGATATAAGAATAATTGATATTTTTTAAAGGAAACGTCTTGATGCTGCTGTACTTGCTAGTGAAATGAAGAGACTAGCAATTCCAATTAAGCTACAAATGAAATCTGAGCCTTATATGGTTATTAGAGAAAGTCCTTGCTAATGATTTGAAACTGAACTGTATTCACACTAACAGTTTTGATTGTAACAGGAGTGTCTAGCTTTCTTTAAAAAAAAAATGTTACTGGCCTGGACTTGTTCACAGTGGTTGTGTGGCTAAATCAACAGTGTGAAAAGGAGTAAGAATTTTCAAAGCTGCTTAAGACTGCAACTATGTGAAATGCTAAATGCTTGGTAACAAGGACAAACATTCTCCTATTTCTTATTGTTCCTAGAAGTTATCTAAGGTGTGGGAAAGTTAATTCGGACTATCAGGCAGCCTCTCAATACATTTGCTTACCCATGCCTATGGTCCATCACTTAGCTTATGTAGTCAAGCAGGAAAATAGCATAACGATAAAACCCTTAAGTTTGTCATACAGCTGTTTCTGGAAAATATATGGATACTTTTGTATGAGCAGCATGAACTGCTATAAAATCTGTCAGTATTACTGAATTGTTTAAATAAAACAATTTTTGTTCTGTTCTTATTTCAGGCATTTTATTTGAACTAGCATTAACTAGTATAGAGTAGTGAGTGCGATATCTGGCCCTGCACTGCTGTCTATTTGTGTTTGAGGGGAAAAGAACAAAAAACTAAAATGCAACCCTTGACAGTTTAACAGGAAGCATCTGCTATTTCCTCTAGTAAAAAAAATAAAATACAAGGTTTATGCTGACCCAAAAAATCATAGAACGAATGTGTGGTTCTTAAATTGGCTTAGGCTAAAACATACCTTCTACTAATTGCTGTATAAAGCAATTGAAGTCTAATAATATCAACATCCAAAGATGTTCTCAGTTCTTCAAGGATATTGTATAAAGCTGATGCTTGCCTCTTTGCAGGTTGTTTAGTTTCAGTTTTAAAACAGATGCGGCCCTTTTTTTAAAGCATCAGAGGGAAGAGTAGAATATAGTAGTTTTGCATTAAACCAAATAGGAGCTAATGATGCAAAATCTTCTATAGAGGTTATTTGGGCATGTGCCTCTTCTGTATAATGTAGTAGAGATTTTCCACCACTATTTTGTTGATAGCAAGTCATATAAAGATTTCCAAGATAAAAAATAATAATCAGTTTCTCTATGGGCAATGTCTTAGTTGAGTTAGTATGAGAACACTCCATTATATAAAAAACAGTTGTATGAAATATAGGACTGGGGGGCAATGTCTAATTTTAGCTACACACATGAAAAAAACCCCTCTTAATGCTGATTTAGTGCACCTCTAAATTTCTGGAAATCACAGAAGGGGAGGCCAGAAGTTACTATTTCCCCCCATTAAGGCTCTATTTTCTACAATCCGATCTAATAAATGCATATTTAATATCCCAAGTCAGCAGGACAAGGAACAGTGAATCCTTGCTCATCATGTGATAATCACTTTTCTGCAAACTTCTACTGTCTTGGGACATATTTTTAGCTTTCTAAAAAGACACACAAACCAGATGCTGCAGCTGGTTTATTTTTACATCCCTAAATGCCACTGGAAATTTAAGAAAAGGTATCATACAATGAACGTACATGCTAATACAAAAGAAAACTACCTAAAGCCACTTTCTGTCAAAGCACTTTGAGTGCAACAACTTTGCATAAACGGCCACTGGAGTATCCTCAGCACCCACCTTAAAATAAGGAATTCAAAAGTTGCAGTTTTGAATCCTCTGGAGAAGCTTCTGCGCCACAGGTTTGAACTCTGTTTCCCAGTAAAGTTTGTGATAATCTCTTAAATCGTCCAAGTTGTAATCCAGAGCTAATTCTTCATCTGCAGCAAGAACAACAATGATATTATCAGTCAATACGAAACAGAACAATGCATTTAAAGTATTTAGGGTCTCTTCACAAAACATGCAGGATTTTCCTTTTAGTAAACGCGAGTAAGACCGAGAAAAATAGTGCCAATGTCTTCTTAAAAATCCACCTTGTGCATGTGACAGCAGTGAGTGTTGATTCTGGTCTAGATGGAACACTGCGTAGATAATTTCACACAGCTGCTATACTGCCATTTGAACAAGAGGTAGTTTCTCGGTAAATATGGCTTAGTTGGATTCAACACAATAGAATTACAATTATCAGAAGGAGAGGTAAAACATTGGAGCCCTGCTGGAGTAGACAAAGACGCTCTTTAGTACAGCATCACGGCCCACAGCTGACTGCTTCTGGACAGCTCTCAAGACAGGCCTGAAGGCAAGAGCCCTCCCCTATGTTTTGCTCCTCACCACAGTTGGTATTCAGAGACATGCTTCCTCCGAACATAAAGGTACTGTTATAGCTCATAGCTATTGACAAAAATACACACACACACCCATTGATTTTAGGCAATCTATGCCTGTGGCCATTACCATTATTTATGGCATTTGCTGCCATAAGGTACGTGTGCATTTTGTGAAGTGCTTTCATTTGTTTTGAAACTACTGCCAGTCACTTTCATGGCATTAACACTAAATTCTAGTATTACCTAAGAGGAAGAAAAATATATTCCATTCTCTTAATGACTTCATTCAATTCTGTCATGCCTCTGCCTTTTGTATTTCCCTACCAGCAAACTGAGTAGCTTCTGTATTTTCATTCTACTTGTTAAGGAAGGGTAATGAGATTGGCTTTTACAGCTTACCTAAAAATGATGCAAGGATAACGAGCAAGGTGTTTGATTCATCATCTTCGAAGCAAGCCTTAGCCATGCTAACATTCTCACTGTAGTTCCACAAAGTTTTACATATCAAACAAGCCAGCTGCCAGTCTGTAGGCCCAAAGTCTCTCAAACAATCGATCAACCTGTTGCAATAATGGAGTAAAGACTAGTTTAACACTTTTGTCAGGACTACCTTTTCTAAGGCTGTCCTTAAACCTGGATGTTTCTCTCCTCCCCAACATAAACATCAGTAAAAGCTCACTTAACCCTCCAACTCCCACTAGTTTTCTGAACTCACTTTTTAATTCCTCCTTCTTCGTTCAATATACTACGCCTGCTTTTATCCACTGTAAGATTGAGGAGAACTCCACAGGCTGAAAAGCAGACATCCTGGTGTTTGGTATCGAGCAAAGCGATCATGAACTTGTACACTAGATGGCAAGAAAAAGCTATTTCAGAGAACAAAATTGTCTTTAAGAATTTTCACAGTGTTAACAATGAAACAAATGTGTGTTGAGAGTTTGAAGAACCCAACAACCCATGAATTTATGTGGTGCACTGCCGGAATACCACTCTCTCACTCCCAGCATCCAAGTTGCAGTTATCTAATGCTAAACAATATGAGCACTACAAAGCTGAATCATTCAACTTCTTTATTATAACAACTAAAATAACATGTGCTTTACCAACAGCTCAGACTGTTAACATATTTGCTACATGCTCAACAACACGATGGGCCATAGGTGCCCTTTAACTTCCCCCCAATTCTTGCAACCTCTGCCTTTTTGATGGTCTATCTGCTATGATTTCAGAGTGGCCCTAGCCACAGAGAGCTATTATGATGTATCTGCCCAACATTACCTGCTCTGGTATAATGAGAATCTCTGAATTCCAAGGTCTATAAGCAGCCTATCGGACACATTGTTCTAATCCATATGCTTTCAAATGGCACCATTTTGGTGTAGATGGATTTTAGCACTCGATACGTTAAACTTGAATAGGCAACATATTGTAGTCATGTAACTGATATTTATTTATTTGGTCTAATGGGACAGAAACTCACCCTTTCGCTGTATAATGAAGTCACAGATTTCATGGCATTGTGAAAGGTTACCAAAGACTCGAATGGCCTCTAGAATTCCATCCATATTACTGCTCATTAATAGCTTTAAAAGCACTGTTAGTACAGAAGCAGAAAAGGTGCACTTAGCATAGTTCAAGAAATTGGTCACCTTTGCAACACACTTAAATAACTGAAGCAAATTTACAACGTAGAGGAGTGCAAGTAGGAAAGCTCAATACTCAGAGAGACTGCTGGAAACTAAACTACTGAATCTCTGTCATATGAAAATACTGATGTGTGACTAGACAAGCACATTTTGGTTACACTTGGTAAGCCAGCAATAACTGAAATACCAACTGCTAGGGCATGCAGTTTGCTCTGTAGGAGTTATGCCTTGAGCATGATAATTTCTGCCCTCCTTCATATTTAACCACACACAAAAACTACCAGCTTGGATGTGCCTTAAAACAGATGGTTAGGCCTCTGGACAAGATATTACGAATCCAAAGTTCAGACCTACATTGTGGTGTAGCATATTACAGGGTCCAATGATAACATCTGCCCTCAGGAGATGCTCACTGAAACCATCTCTTGATCAGACACCACAGTTTCCCCTTTATTTTTGATCTTATTTTAAAAGACGTACAAAACCAGGATGAAGCAAAATACATACTGGTACATTTAACATTTGGCCTATTGTTATGGTATTCTTTCTCCAGCTGCAGCCCTTTCCTCTTCCTCAGTTCCCCCCTCAGTATCACTCACTGAGTTTTCAGTATTCTAAAATAATTTCTAGTTCTCCTGTAACTACAACTCCAAAAAAACTAACTAGTCCAAAAACTACCTAAATCCAAGGAAATACTCATCTAGTCTTGGAATATGTGTAGACTACTGTTAATGTCTTCTCATTTAATGTTTTTGAGCCTAATACTTGAGCTTTAAATTTGATATTACAGTTTTTAATCTACAATGGGCAGGAGCAACTTTGAGTTTAGATCTACACTCATCAGCCACCTTGGGCCTGAGCAAAGTTGCAACAGCAGAACACAGATGAAACAATTCAGTTAAGAAATTAACCTGCTGTTCTCCAGCCTAACCAGTTTGCAAACTGAGCAAATTTCATAGTCTTCATTGCATCCACAAGGATTATCAAATGAGATCAGCTTTACCAACCAAAACTGAGAAAGTAGATAACAGCTGTCTTATTTCAGTGCTATTTCTCACTGTTGCTCAATACAGTGAGGGATATTATATCATTATAATAACAGAAATATGATATACTAATCTTTTTAAATAAAATCCTTACACTCTGCAATATATAATTTCTTCTCCTGGATTACAGAATTCTTCACTTGGTAGAAAGATAAATTGCTGATTGTTGCTGTGGTATTAATAACCAGCTCCTCACATTCATCAACTGATTTGTTTTCTAGTAATTTGGACAAAAAAAGACATAAGTGTTTTTTCAAGGAACTTAACATTTTGACACTTCACAGCTTTGGTGACTGTTGTTCACAACATTCCAAAGACTACATAAAAGAAAGCTTTGGGCCATTCCAAAACCGCATTGTGATCATGCCTGGTTTTTCCATGAGGTGTTCATATGTGCCCATTCTCCTTGCTAAAATCCTTCATACCGCTATTTTAATAAGAAATATGCAGCAAGACTTGTGAAAATTTGCAAGTGAGAGGAGAGAGGCTTTCAAGACATGCCAATGCCAGACCTTACTTATATGGGCTCTCAAATTTATATCCATCAAAGCTGAGTGCATCATCACAGAATACAGCCCCAGCAATCCTGCTTACCATTGATACCAGTTTGTTGGTGTAGGATAGTGGCCCAAAAGACTGAATACATCAACTAATTAGGTGGTCTTAATCAAGCAACTCTCTCTGTACCTCAACCATCCTATCTGCAATATGGGAGATATTATCACTTTACCTTTGAGGGATGTTGTAAGGATTACGAACCGAATGCATGCGTGGAGAACTCTGAAAGCTTGAGTGTGCTATACAAACATTAAGTATTATGTGTTTATGATGTATGCCCACCACTATTCTCTACACTGCACTATAGAAAAACCTGGTGAAATTCTAAGTCACACTGACCTAGTAGTAAGCTCCATTGAAATGTGAAAAGGAGCTTGGTCCCAGTGGCTTAAGGCTTCATGGTCATATAACTAGAAAACACACCATCTTCCCTCTGGTTTCAGTATTGTTTTTGTAGCAGAAAGAAGAAAATCAGCATGGACGGCTTGCTTTGTTTTCTCAATGGGCTAAATCAGCAAAGGGTGCCTGAGTTTCTGAGGGTGGGAGCTGTACCCCCTGTAGGGGGTACAGGGTGGTGTGAAGAGGTTCAGTTTTGAGATGTTGAACTTAATATAGGAAATATCAGGGAGAGAAATGACATGCACTATGGTTTATAGGAGATGGCTGGTATGCAGCAGTTGGAACAGCAGACAAGCTTGCAGATAAAGGAAGATGGTGGTGAATATGGTTTGGGGGATGACTGGAAAAATACTAGGGAAATCTTGGAGATGCAGCCAGTTTTATAGTATCATTAATCAACCAATTTCATCACTTTAGCAGGATTTAAATTATTTCACTATGGGAAACTTAAGGAAAAACGTTTCTTCCTCTAAGAACAAAGCAGTTCTTACCTAGTACCGTAATGAGTAATGTCACAATATGATGGTTTGTTGCCAGACTTGTGCCTACAGTGGGATGGATGGACAAATTGGCAACCACTCTTACAAGTTTGATGAGCACATCTTCTGCTTCAGACGGATGCTTGAGATTTTTTACATCGCCATCACCTTTCAGCAGTTTAGTATTTAAATCAGCTTCACAATTAGCCTGGAATAGTGCTATCAGGGTATTAATGCTTCCTTGCACCTCAAAAAACTGTTCCCGGGCCCGGTTGTTCTTTGCTGTTAAATTTCCAAGAATAAAAATGATACGGATGACTAAATCCTGGAATTAAAGAAGATGTAAACATCCCTGCTGTAAGTAAAAGTGATCAATAATGGTTTGCAAGAAGAAAATGGTCGTCTTTACTTCAGTTAATATCTACTGTACAGTACTTTAAAATGAAAAAACCCACAGCATGTAAAATTACCTCTCTTCTGTCTCATGGCAAAACCTTATAGAAGCCAAGAATGCCTTGTGATATTTTAAAAATAGAATGTGTTAATAGTCCTAAGTACATATATTTCTGTTTTAAAGTGTTTTTATTTTATGGTGGTACTGTATTAGCTGTATTTTATTGTTTTATTACAGTTTTGTTTATTTTAATCCCCATATGTGAATGCAGGAATACCTTTCTTCATTAGTTACCAAGCAACTGATGAATCAGGAGAACAAAGTTAAAATATTTTTGACTTTCTCATTTTGTTAAAATGCAGCAGTCTGGAAACAGGACTGTCCAGTCATAAATTAGAATTATCAGCTAGATATAATCAATTTATATCTCACACCTTCACAAAATTTATGTTCTCAGGACAGCTAGCACAGTAGGGCAAGGCTATCAACAGCTATGAGCCACAATGGCTATGTTCCACCTCCACTGTTGGAGGCATGATGCTTCTGACTATAATAATTTATTATTTATACCCCGCCCATCTGGCTGGGTTTCCCAGTTGCGGGGAATTGCAGGGAGAGAGCTGAAGCACTCATCTCCAGCTTGCAAGCTTCCCATAGACATCTGATTCACCATTGTGAGATGAACCACTAGTACAATCCAGCAGGCTTGTCATGGGATCTTACGTAGCAAGAAACAAAACACCACCACAAATAAGACCTTGGACTGACAGATTTAAAGTTAGTTCAATGGGCTGGTGGTCTGAGACTGAATATATTGTTCTACCAATGGTATTACCACTAGACAAAGTGCTCTGGCTGTGTTATTATTTGTTGCATACATCAGGTCCATGCTGTTATGCAGTTTGCTATACCAGAATACTTATTTTCTATGTAACATTCTAGGCTATGGAAAGACATAAATAAAAGGGTGTGATAGGGTGGGATTTCTACTGTGAGATCGTGGGCTCACAGAAAATTACTAAAATAAGTCTGGCATTGCATTAGTAGTGTAAATTTCAGGATACTACAGTACAGACTAGAGGAAGCGATGGAAGGTTTCAGAATTCTGACACTTTTTTGCACGACAAGAAAAATAAACCATGCACTAGTCAGCCCACAGAAAACAAGTCTTCCATATCTCTATTCCCTGTGGGAGGCAGCTATAAGACATGCAGAGCTACTCATAAGTATTTCATCAGGATTAAATTCTTATCTTCAAAGTCATTTTAGGCTGGAACTTTGTCCTCAATAGTCCATTGGTTGGTGTCATGAATTCTCCAATGAGCCTAATCACTCTGATTTGATTGGAAATTCCATAATTTTAAAATCTATGTTTCGGATTTAGTAAAGAAGAATTGAACTTTAATGGAAGAAAGTTACTCCTGAAGCATGAAATGCAATAGCTGTCATTCATTAAATCTTAAACAGATGAGCATTAACGACAGCATGAACTGGGAGAGCAGATCTGTTGAGACTTGGTCCAAAATACAGAAACTATTACTCTTATGTAGAACCCATGATTTCTTTGTATCTCTATTAGTATCCTAAAACTAAAATAATTACATTTTTGTTCTAAATTTATTTCCCTTGAACTAAGTCCTAATAATTTCAGATAACTTCATTCTAAGTAAGAATCATTCAGCCTAAAACAGCCCAGCCTTGTACCAGTGACATTACCAAGGAGAAAGAGTGACCCATTGTGGCTGGTTTTGGCTCAGTCACCACAGAAATCCCCTGGGGAATTGGTATAGATTTGAGTAAACCCACATCTTTTAAGGATTACAAACTTCTCACTTTAAAAGTAAAGCAATCCCTATTGAAGATTTAAAAGGTGGGGGCTTTGACCTCAAGCACATAAATTCAACTGAAGTCAGTGGGGCTTAAAACAAAGCAAGACATCACTATTTAGCTGTTCATGCATCATTTTGGTATGACTGGTCATACCCTTTTTATGTGCTTAACATGTTAAAGAAAAGACCCTAGTACAAATATTCTTGGGACACTCACTATAACTTCTTGTCACTGTGAAGAAAGGTCATCATTAGCCTCTGCTACTCTATTCTTCTGAGATGTTGGCCAATTGCCCGCCAGGCATAAAAGGCCAAAGGATTCGGGTGAAACATTTTTTGAAACTCCCAGTACAAAATAACTATTTTTATCTGCTCAGCATTTCCCACAGATTTGTGAGATAACAAAGGGAATTTTATATTATCTTAGTTATCATGGGGTGGCTTCCTGCTTTTAAACACATTTCCTCTTGGAAGGCCTGTTTTCAATGGAATTTACCTACAAGTACAAATTCTTACGATCAGCCTAAGGCTGCAATGCACACTTACTTTGGTGTGCCCAATGAATGCAGTAAGCATGAACGGAGTCAGACTACTTAGCAAAGGGTAAGCAAGTGTAAGGCTTGTGAAATATGTCTAGTACACTGAAGCTTGGTGCCATGCACTGTTGTCACCCAGCCATTGTAGCACTGCTACTGTGTGGCAACTTTCTTGCAGGCCTGGTGGCAGCAGCGGATGCCGTGGTGGAGCTGCACCTCTCGCCTGACCTCTGTCTGGCTGACACTCTGCAAAATACATGAACAGAGAAAGGGAGGGGTGCAGGGGCAGCGAGGCAGGCATGGTGGAGCCAATGTCTGGCTGGCGGTCAGAATTAAAGTTTGGCCCAATATAACACATAGGCCTTATATTGCTTATTTCTGATAATGAAGTCCATCAGGAGAAATGTCAAGGGTGGGGAATTCAACGCAGCGTCAAGAAGGGTGTGAGAGAGCTCGCTCAACAGGACTTCTTCCCCCCGATGCGCCCCTTAAACCTGTTCTAGGTTCCCCCCCCAACTCTTCAGAGCATATTTGGGGGGCATAGGATCAAACAAGGGAAGGTGAAAGGAGAAAAGTCTCATTGCGCAAGCAGATGTTGTTCTGTTTGTGCAACAACTCAGTTGAATCCCGCCCCAACACTCCAAAAACGACTCATCTGTATGCTAAGAAGAAGAAGAAGGGAGTTAATCAACTGCCTGTCCCTTATATCGCCCCCGCTGTTAATCTAAGTTGAGTCCATTTCAATAATTTACTATTTAGAAATGCTGTCAACCGTTTAAAATTTCTATCTTGTAAATGCACATGAAAGTAGGTCACTGAATATGGGCTTACACACATACGACACCACAGACACATCCGAGGATTAAAATATAAAAAGCAGGAGATGAAAAAACTGACCTGCTTCTTTGGGTGTTTGTTTAGCAGGGCTAAAAATAAGACGTAACATCTGGAGCAATCTGCCAAAGCTGTACAGCAGTCATTGAAGGAAGAAAGTTTGCTGTATGTTTAAAAATAATAACATGCATCAGTAGGGTAACTTTTCCTACAGTTTTCCCCTGCTCTTGCCCAAGCCAAGTCATTTGCTCCATTTTTAAATATTTTTCAGTGTTCATACTGATAGGCTAGGATTCTGGTCCAATACAGTAAAGATAAGGATTATATAACAGAGGAGCTGAGCCGTTATGAATGAATAGCTAATTATATTGCATAGGGCAATGACAATCAAAAGCTGAATCTGAGATCTCCAATTAAAGTGGAAGACAAGAAAACCATTGCCTCCTTGGGACCCAGACAGAATGCTAAATCCAAGATTTCAACTATGGTGCTGCCTACCCCTTTCTCTCTCTCCCTCCCTCTCTCTCTCCACACGCCCCCCTTCCCATCCAGGCCAACATGCCTCAAAGGAAAGTGCAAAGTAACATGGATCTTCAGTGTGGGCAAAGGACAAGTAGCAGCAGCATGTCCCCCACAGCCCCCCTCCCTTACCTCCTTTTCTTAAGAACCTAAATGCATTTATCTGGGAGTCAGTTCTACTGAAATCAATGGGGCTTATTTATGAATAGACACATAGAGGATTGCACTGTAAAACCCTTCCTTGTCATGCCCCCTCGGAGCCTCAATAAGGGAAGGTTCAGAAGCAGATGAAGCATCCATCACAGCTGTTCTGGGAAAGAAAAGGCTTTATACTGACTGGTAGAGACAATAGTAGGGTGAGATAGTGGTCTGCATCACTGAATTGCATTGCTACACCTAGAAGTGATGTTTACTTAGAGTGCAAAGGTAATCAAATGGTGCCACAGAAATACTGGGGCGGGGGGCAGGGAGAAGCAGGGCATGTGCTTTTCCTTATTTCAGCTGGAAACAGTGGCAGAAAGGAGTGTAATTGGGTTTATGGGTTGTTGAGAAAGGGTCCATGGGTTTCAAAATGAGCAAAATAACTCTAAATCCAAGAAACATATGAGCAGAGTGTGTGGTCCTGTGACAATGGGATGTGATAACAGTGAGCAGTGGTATGGAACAACTGAGGGCTACAATGCACAAACAATGTACAAAAAGGATTTGGAAAATGTGGATTTGCAAAGGAGGTGTAGAAGAGCCCATTAACAGTTGCTCTGGGAAATTTGAGATACAGGCCTTTCAGTAATTTGTGGACATCCTTCCTTAACTGATTATGCCAAGGATTGAACCTAGGAATGTGTATGTGCAAAGGAATTGCTTCCCAGCTCAATTCCTACAGAAGTTCCTTTCATGATTTTTGCATGGGGTTCTTGGGCTTAGCAATGCTGGTCAGTGGCGTAGCGTGGGTTGTCAGCACCCGGGGCAAGGCAAGTAATTTGCGCCCCCTAACCCGTGGATTTGCACCCCCTAACCCATGGATTTGCGCCCCCTAACCCGTGAATTTGCCCTAACCCCAGATGTTGCGCCCGGTGCGGCCGGCCCCCCCTGCACCCCCCACGCTACGCCACTGATGCTGGTGACTCATGCACAAAGGAGAGACCAAACAGAGATTTAGTTAATAATGTCATACGACTTGAGGAGGCAAAACGTATTTAATTCTGCAGGTACAGCCTGCATGTGCAACTAGGTCCTATTTCAGGCAAGGCAAATGCAAGCAGTGGTGCCATCAGGTCAGAACTTTGGGGCCCAGGGCCTCACTCAGTGAAATGAGCAAAACACCGGAGAGCTAGCTTGCCATGTTGTGAAGTAAGCAAAATAACCAACACTGCTATTTAAAGAGAAAAGGGGCACCATAAAAACCATGAAGTCCAGGGTCTAAAATTCCCTAACTGCACACAAGCTGACTTCAGTACTTAAGGACTGTTTCTGTGTATGTCCATTTATGTGACTTAAGTCTATGAGGCAGAACATTTCCCTTTCAAAACAATATCCACAACAATATTTCAAGGATTAAAGCTACACACATACAAAAAATGGTAGTACAAATAAACCAGCATGGCTGGGGATGGAGGTGAAGAACTGGGTGCTGCAAGTATTTGCTCCGTGGGAAACAAACAAACTGTATTGCATTTCTTTAAAGGACTTTACCTGAATATTCTGGCCACATTGGTGCAGACATCCTTGTCGTTCATACGCTTCTCCAACATCAGACAAAGCTCTGGAATTGCTTCAGAGTCCAGGAGCTTGCACCTTGACTGAGGCAAGTCAACCAAGTTCCGCAAAGTGGCAGTGAGCTGGAGAGAATATATTTAAACATGAATAAATCATCACATTATTATGAGTCCCAGACACTTTTGAAAATTTAACAAGGTTAGATCTAGCCTAAGCCTCCTCTGATGGCCGCTCTAAGAAACTCTACAGACATGTATGAAATAGTGTGGATTATTTAAACTCTGGAATGCGAAGCAATGATACAGACATAATTTAAAAAAACAGGATAGAGGACAGCACAAGTCGCATTTCTCTATTTTAAAAGCAGACAGTATGTTGTTCCTTCCCTGGATACAAGTGAATCCATCTCCTCCTGCCTTTTGACCTGTCTTGTTTACCTAGTATCTCTTCACAACTGGGCAGGGAACTACTGCATGTGCGTGTGATGATCCTTCCTTTTTTTAGCCAAAATACTAGAGCAAACCATGACAGACACTCCTGGATGAAACCAAATTTCCTAAACCTATTTCAATCTACCTTCTGACCAAGGGTTGGGGCCAAGATTTACCTTCACCAGGAGATAGACAGAAGGAGTACAAATTCTGCCACTTTCAGCACCTTCATTTTCAGTATCCTTCTGGACCAACTTTGTGGATTAGAAGTACAGGACAATACTTTTGCAGTAGTTCTACTCCTACCTTGCTGAAAGGATCCAGAAGGTGGTTTTAGGAGGCTGCTGCCCTTCTCTGCAGGAATTATCCTGCAGTGTTTCTCTTATATTTAACATCTGCATTCAACCATTGGGGAAGGTTGTCTTGCAGTTTGGAGTGAGATGTCATCAGTATACCGACAATACCCAGTTCTCCATTTCTTTTCCAACAGAACTAGCTTTAGCAGTTTCTTGCTTTAACAACTGCTTGAAATCAGTAATGCTTGCCCTGGATAAGATAACATTCCCCACAAAGAACCAGGAATGCATTTGGGGCATATTTCTGGATCTGGGTTTCCTCCTGGGTTGGCAAAGTGTTGCATGTGGCGCTCAGTGTGCCCCTTTCAGCACAAATTTCAATGGTGCCCTTCTTTAAACACACAACTTGTAATGTGCATGCCCTGATAACCTCACAACTTAACTACTATATTACAGTTTGTGTAAAGCTGCCCTTGAAGATAATTAGATAATTCAGCTGGTTCAGAATACAGCAGGATATGTCCACCACTAACTGCATGCAGTATGTTATACCATATTTACAAGAACTCCGCTGGTCACTGTTTCCAGCCTAATTTCAATGTGCTGATTTTAACTTTTTAAACCCTGCATGGATCCATTGTATTTGACAATTTGTCTTCTTACACGTGTACTTTGCTATGCCATAAAGTAGGAAGCATGAGGTCTGATAGTATGTGCTGCACCATCAGTAACAGAGACTGGTTTCTACCAGCAGTAAAGCTTTTTTTGACATAGCATCCACAAATCAGAGTTCACTGCACAAATCCCTTTCAGAAGGCAATTTAAGTGTTTTCTTTTTAGGCAGGCCTCTGGTTTGTCAGTGACTGAGAGCTATGGCTATTTTAATTTTTGTTTTGTTTTTTTTAAAATAAATTTTTATTAATTTTCCATAAGTAAAAAAGAAAACAAAGCAAAAACATAGATAAAGACAAAAACGACTTCCCCGTACCACCCCTTTTCTGCATTCTTGTTTCAAGATTTTTCAGCAACCCTTTCGTATTAAACTTATTTCTATTTCGTAAATTTAACTTCCATAAGATATTAAAACAACTGTAGTTCTTTATCTCTTATTACCCTGATCCTCTAATTTTCCAAATTACAACAGTTTTTAAGATAAACTTTAAATTTGTTCCAGTCTTCATCCACCGCCTCTTTCCCCCGGTCTCGGATTCTGCCAGTCATCTCTGCCAGTCCCATATAATCAATCACCTTCGTCTGCCATTCTTCCAACGTGGGTAGATCTTGTGTCTTCCAATACTTTGCTAGAAGGATTCTTGCTGCTGTTGTAGCATACATAAAAAATGTCCTATCCTTCTTTGGCACCATTTGGCCCACCATACCCAGGAGAAAGGCTTCTGGCTTTTTATTAAAAGTTCTCTTCAGAACTTTTTTAATTTCATTATAGATCATTTCCCAGAAAGCCTTAATCTTCGGGCAGGTCCACCAAAGGTGATAGAAGGTTCCCTCCGTTTCATTACACTTCCAACACTTGTTATTGGGCAGATGATAAATCTTTGCTAACTTAGCCGGAGTCATGTACCACCTGTAGATCATTTTCATAATGTTTTCTCTTAAGGCATTACATGCCGTAAATTTAACACCAGTGGTCCATAACTTCTCCCAGTCAGCAAGCTCAATGTCATGCCCTATATCCTGTGCCCATTTAATCATACTAGATTTCACCATTTCATCTTGAGTATTCCATTTCAACAGCAAGTTGTACATTCTTGACAAGTTTTTAGTATTGGGTTCTAACAGTTCTGTTTCTAGTTTTGACTTCTCCACTTGGAAGCCTTTCTTTCTGTCCTGTTTGAATACTTCATTTATCTGTCGATAATGTAGCCAATCTCTCACCTTAAACTTCAGTTTCTCGAAACTCTGCAATTTTACTTTTTCACCATCTTGTTCTATCATTTCAAAATATTTAGGCCAATTAGAACCCATATTCAATTTTTTCACCTCTTTTGCCTCCAATGGTGACAGCCACCTAGGGGTTCTGCTTTCAAACAAATCTTTATACCTTATCCAGACATTATACAGCGCTTTCCTCACCATGTGGTTCTTAAAGCCTTTATGCACTTTTACCTTGTCATACCATATATATGCATGCCAACCAAATCTGTTATCAAACCCTTCAAGATCCAAAATGTCTGTATTCTCGAGGAGCAGCCAGTCTTTCAACCAGCAAAACGCTGCTGATTCATAGTAAAGTCTTAAGTCCGGCAGGGCAAAACCTCCTCTATCTTTTGCGTCTGTTAATGTCTTAAATTTTATTCTTGGCTTTTTGCCCTGCCAAACAAATTTCGATATGTCTTTCTGCCACCTCTTGAAACAGTCCATCTTGTCTATTATTTGTAATGTCTGAAACAGAAATAACATTCTAGGCAATACATTCATTTTGATAACAGCAATTCTGCCTAACAAGGAAAGTTTCAGCCTTAACCATATGTCTAAATCTTTCTTGACTTCTGTCCAACATTTATCATAGTTGTCTTTAAATAAGTTCACATTTTTCGCTGTCAAGTTCACCCCCAAGTACTTCACTTTTTTTGCTATCTCCAAACCTGTTTCATTCTGAAATGTCTCTTTTTCCTCATTTGTTAAGTTTTTCTCCAGCACTTTAGTTTTTTGTTTATTCAGTTTAAATCCTGCAACTTGACCAAATGTCTCAATCAGTTCTAAAACTCTTTTTGTACTAGTGTTTGGCTGCTGTAGAGTCAAAACTAGGTCATCTGCAAATGCCCTCAGTTTATACTCTTTCACTCCGACCTGAATTCCTTTAACCAACTGGTCCTTTCTAATCATATTTAACAAAACCTCCAGGACCAGTATGAAAAGTAGAGGGGAGATAGGGCATCCCTGTCGTGTTCCTTTCTCTGGCTATTTTAATTTTTGGTTCCACATGTTTAAATGTTAACTTTTTATATTTTGCCTTTCATGTACTTCAGAGCATTCAAAAAGAAGACTATACATACAAACAACTGGTAAAGCCAGCAAGGACAAGATTGCCAATAGTGGGACAGGTGGTGGTGAACAGCAGTTTGGTGTTTTTTTTAAAGCTTCCTACATTTTGGATGTCTTCATTTGCTACTCTCTGAATAGCTAACCCACTGAACAAAAATAATCCAGCTTTAACAAAATGTGAACTGAGATATGAAGGAAGGCAAGTTGGGGTTGCTCTGGAACAGTGGCAGCTAGTTAAAGGGAGCGGAGCTTGCCCTTGTAACAGAGCAACTTTTGTTTTTCCTGGAAGCTCACAAGCAGACCATGAAGTCAACAACCCTTCAAGAATCTGGTATTCAGAGGTATACTTCCTTCCATGGAATAAAACAATCATGGCTGGCAATAATTTCAGAAGTGAATTCTACACCCTAATTATATGCTGTGTGATGACATACTTCCTCTTGACTGTTCTGAATATGCTGCCAACTGATTTCATTACATGACCCTAATATGAAGAGAAAAGGATAAAAAGTCTCTCTCTGCACTTTCTCCATCCCGTTCATAAACTTATAATCCTTTCTCATATAGTTATCTTTTCCAAAAATAGAAAACTCCCAATAAGACTCCAGACTTTCCTTGTAGAGAACATGCTCCAATGCTTTCATTGTTTTAATTGCTCTTTTCTGTATTGTCTCTGGCTCTGCTAAGTTGTCAGTTATATCAACCATATTGTTCTCTTGGAGTCGCATCTCCTCTTCTACAGAGTGATGACCACAATAGTAATGATAATCTCGGTTAATTCAACATTAAAATCCCTCCAAATTGTAAACTTTCTACAAAGCACAATACAAGCAAAAGTGGGGTTGTTTTGATGAGAACTTTACCAATGACTCCCACTGCTAGACTTACATAAATACCCTTTGCAAAGTGATCTGCATGTCCCCTCTACTCTTGTCAATAGTCAAACTCCAATTTCCATGTTTCATCATCATCCATACTGGAACAAGAGCTTTTTCATCGGCTACTGCTGCTATACGGAACATCTATCTTGCATCTCTTTGCTTCACTGATTCTCTATCCCTTTTCTAATCTCCTCTGAAAATTGCCTCTCTGCTAGCTTGCTTTTGCCTCTTAAATAATAGAAAAGGGCATAAAGACATTTGATTCCATTCCTTTATCACTTTTCCCCCAACTTGCCAAAAGCATAGAAAGTAGTCACAAGAATTAAACTTTTTTTTTTTTGCCTTCCCTTGCTGAAGTACTATTTTCTCATAGTGACCCCATGATTATAGACTCTATACACTACAGTCCAACACCACCATATTGTTTGTGTGCATAACAGGTGAGATAGATAATTGTAAGAGCATCAAACAGCACTTCCTATAAGCTTGCTATGGATCCCTGTTAGGATTCCGTTACTGACTAAAATAAAGCACATGTTACTATATTTAGCAAAATAGAGCTTTTGTTATTTATGTGGCAGAATGTTTTGGCTTCCAGAATACTTTTATTTTTACATATCTTCATTATTTGTAAAGGGAATCTTTCTATGAGTAATATGTCATTACCTCTTCTTTTTCAAGTGATCATAGCACCTGCAATTGTATATGTAAAGTACAGGAAATAAAACCAGAGACTACGATTCAAGAGATTAGTATGTATGTTGAAATAAGGGGTATGGCAACTCTAAACAAATTCATCTAGGCAACATGAGCTAGTCAGAGAAAATAAATTTGGACTACACTTGAACAAGATTTGAATGGATTTAAGTAAGTGTGGAATGATAAACAAACAGCAGTGATTGGTAATGCTTTCCTTTTGATATAAGGAAGCTCTAAATAAAATAAAGTTGGTGTTTTGTATTAACAAATGATAACCAGTAGAAATCAAAATATCTAAGGGGCAAAGTCAAAAGTGTTTTAAAAAGATAATTGTGTGTATCTTATACAGGAATATATAAACTGCTATCTTTAGTTATTTTTTGTTTGTTCCTATATTTCCTATTCTCTACCATAACTTGTGAAGCTCCAACTGTTACACATAAATACACACATACCTGTTTTCTCCCTCTCATTGTTTTATATTTTATGCAAAGTCTCAAGACTGGTCCCAAATCTTATCTGGTTGAAATAAAAGTTTAACTCTGACCTGAACCAAGAGGTGTCCTGAACTGGAAAACCGAGCATCATTTTCATTAATTTCATTGATCTGCTTCATTAGTTGCAACAGTATTTCAACAGTTCCCTTGCTGACCATCTCATTAATGAGCTTTGCATTTCCAGAAATGAATTTTATAGCGCCCATACAATAGAGAAAGGCCTCAGTAGTTGCTTGCAAGTCTTCAGCTCTCAGAACTTCTAGCAGAGAATCTATGGAGAAAATTGTGAATGCTAATCTGAACAATGCTTATTGCCTCTTACCTTGAAGTGACCGAGAGTGGGAGTGGCCAGACATTTGCCCAAGGGAAATTCCCCACCTCCTCCTTCCCAAGGCAGCCTGCTGTACCCTCCCCCCCAAAAAAACCCCTGTTCTGAAAAGGAACAGGGCTGGGATGAGGGGCTACAGTATCAGGGAAACTGGCTGGAGGGAGCTTGGGTGAGCAGAGCTCTGATTCACACAAGCTACCGCCACCCAATTTTAGAGTGTACATATGCAAGACTTTAAGTAATCAAAATGAGGCATCATAATTACTGATTACTTTCTGGGATCAAATACATTCACTACCTTCAAGATAGCAGGCTGGCTGGCTGAATATAGATGTGAGCTGACATTTTTTCTGGTGCTCAGTTGCAGGGACGCGGACTTATAAAAAATATTTGGGGGGCCCGGGAAAGCTCATGAATAATAAATAAGCTCATGAATATGCAAATAAAGTGGCGCCGCCTCCTCGTGAGCGAATAGGGGAGAGCGTGCTGCGCCTATTAATCAGCTCCAAAGGAAATTGGGTGGAGCTTTTGCTCGGGAGGGAGGGCAGGAGGCATGCAGCCCGCCCCTCCCTGTGCATTTTGGGCTGGGGGAGGGGCGGCGATGGCGCTCTGCTGGAGGGGCGCCGGAGATTATTGGGGGGGCGGAGCCCCCCCAAACTAATTTTTGAGGGGGCTCGGGCCCCCTCAAGCCCCATGGAGTCGGCGCCTATGCTCAGTTGCGGTTTATTTGAGTTCAAAAGGTTAAAATAAAAACTTCCCTCCATCCTTGAAGTATCAAAGGCAGACATCCCTGGATACTGAATAGTGTGGGAAATTCAGAGTGCTTTATGCTCGGGGGGAGGGGGGAAGCAATCTAAAATCAAAATGCAGCCTGGAAATCATGTCTGCATTCCTGCTTCATTTCTAGACGGCTCCATTTCCCCAACAAATTAAATGTGTATTTTCTCTTATAAATTACCCAAGAAATAAAACTTGGTTACAGCCACGGTAGAATTTAAAAGATACTTGCCCAATATTTGGTCATGTTGAATGATGGAATCATTTTTTTCATTTCTGCTTATTTTAAACACCAGTTTGCAGACATTAAGCAGATTCTTTCCACTTACTTTCAGCTGCAAATAACACAGGAAAAAAGCAACATCAGTGCAATCAATACTTGATGGGGAAATTTGTTTTAAATAGACAGGATCAGTGTGTCAAAAAAGTGCAGGAAGGCCTTGATGGGTTCCCAAAAATATTAAACTATGGTTTAGGAAGCTGGGGTTGTTACATCATAACTGGCTGTCTGGCATAATTAATCACAGAATTCTCAGACTCTCCTTTCCTAACTGTGCTCTTGAATTCCTGGGCAAAAGTGATATGACTGCTCCTTCTCCAAACAAGCACACACACATATAAAGGCACACACACATTGGTGAGAAGATATGGAAAGCATGCATGAAATACTACACAAAAATTTAATCAGGCAAAACACAAAACAAAGGGTGCAATTCAAACCATTTATGCAATTTTTAAGTTCCACTGTTTTTGGTGTGAGAGATTTAAGCATGAGCTTGGTTTCAATGAGACTTCAACCTTTTATGAATAATATATATTAAAAGCATAGAAACCAAAAGGCAACTAAAAGACTCGTTCATATTCATGTGCTTAAGTCACAGATATCTCTACAGATGTGCCTAATTCTACCTGTATTGCACTCATGATTCTGAGGTCTATTTTTATAGGAGTGAAGGGTTTTTGTACAAATGCAGTTTAAAATCTAAAAATGAGAACGTCATGTCAGAACGGCTGACAAGACTGTTCCTGCACACCCATTACAGTCATTCAAGCTGTATTAAAATTTTCACTGAGTATGAAAACTAAAAGTATGCAAATGTGTTTCACCTCTTTCCCCCCAATATTTTCAATGTAGAATAAGAGCCTATGATACATAGAGCAATGAGAGAATCACTGGATTTCTTTTCCAGATCCCTAGGTTTTTTTTAATCAGAGATTTCATCTTTTTTATTGTGGGTTGCATTTTAATGGTATATTTCTAACAGGAAGTTTCTGTGGCTTTATTTAACAATCTAATACATCTGATTCACTTGAGAGATGCTTATAATTTTCCAGTTTGATGCATAGCACAGCATTAACAGACAAATATTCTGGATATTCTAAAACCAATAATACAAAACATGTATTTGGGATACCATGTAGCAATACATATTTTTGTTTTAATAGGGCAATTATTAAAAATCACATGCTCACAGGATTTGTATTTCAGACTTATAAAACTATGTTAATCCAGTATTTTTGAAATTTTGGTTTAACTCTGTGTGTTCTCTTTTGTGAAAAGTTGTTGTGTTTCTTGATACTTAGGATTCATCATACAATATCACACAAACAGGGAACTTAAAGCACATACAAAACATCACATTGCACCATGATCCCTCCACACTTTAACTTACGCCCAGAATAATTTTTGCAAGTTTTAGGCCAAGCGGATCTGAAGCAATGTCAACTAATTTGTATAAAGTCTTCAGAAGCAAATTTCGTCTTTTAAATCGCTTGCAAAGCATATTTCCTTCCTCCAAGGCCTTATAGAGAACAGTACAGGCATGGCAAAGTCTTTCTACGTTGTCCTCTATTTGATATGGAAAAGCATAAAGCAACATCAATTATCAAACATTTTTCAGAGTCACCAAGAAAAAACAAAACCATAAATTGACTAAAAGGAAAAGTGTTACAGAGATGTAAGAAACTCAGTATCAAGCATGATTCTAAAAACTGTAGCCTAAACCTGAAACCTTTAGGTCAGTGGTGAGGAATCTCCAGCCCAGGGGCCTAATTAGGCCCATCAGCTCTCTCCATTGGGTCTGTAATGCCATTTTGGACAAGCTGCGCCCACCTGCCCTATTCATAGGTGCCATGTATGATGTCATATGTGTTGCAGGTAAACATGTGGCTCAGCCAAATGGGGTTTGCAGGCACCACTCACCAGGTGATCAACAACACTTGCAAAGCACCTCAGGTGCTGTGAAGCCCTATGCACAAAGCTTTGCAACCTTCAATGACCAGCTGATCCTTGGAACTTGCAAAGCATTGTGCATAGTGTTCCACAAGCACTGATGATCAGCTGACTGTCAGTACCCTACGGGTTATGCTTTTGCCCCCATGGTTTGATTTCACACCATGCAGGCAAAAGCAGGTCACCTGATATCATTGAGATCTGCATCAGCTGAATGTCATCAGCATACTGATAGGACACTGCCCAAATCTCCTAATGACCACCCCCAGTGGCTTCATGTACATGTTAAATAGCATTTCTCCCTACCCCAAATCTGAAATGGCAGTCCTGATCACAGTGCTGAAAAAGTGGATGTGGATCACGCCCTCAACCATAGGCCACAATATATTACCAATGCAAGAACATTAAGTGGAATATCAACTACTGGAAGTAAGTATTGGAAAATCTATTTTGTGAAAGTCATAACAAGTATCATAGAAACCATTATGCACCAGACTCTAATTCATGTAGAATTGGTAAAATTTTCGTATTCCAGTAGTTTTCTTCCTCTTCTGTCTCATTAGCTTCCAAAGTATTTTCTGAAATTTGAAAACATGTTATTAAGTGACCACACAATGAAACTTACACAACATATGCAAAACTGATTTTAAAACTACAACCATATTAATACTTTAAAATGTGTAAATGAGTGGAATCTTAACAATCTGAAGTACAGTATCTGCCTAAGCAATAAAAAATTATTTAAGGTTATTATTTTCAACTACCTCAATGTATGTTTGATTTTTATTTTTTTTAAGGAAACTTAAACAACAAAAATTGACAAGTTGAACAAAATGTCTTGGTGGTTTGTCGGTCATAACCACAACTTTGCAGTCTGGTCAGAGAAATGACATTGGCTTGCATTTATTGGCTGCTGTTCTTAGTATGTAAATACAAAAGCCTTAGCAACACTGAAAGTCAAACCCTTCCAAGCTTACTGTTTCAACCTTTTTGCAGAAGAAATGGAAAAGAAATACACTAAGCTTTACATATAAGTGAATCACTCTAACAGGTTCTTAGCAGTGTAAAATAGCTTGACTACCTTATCTATGTCAATCTGTACTAAATGAGAATGTATACTGGGCAGCTGCATACGCATTCTAACCACTGCTAGCACATCATAATACTGAGTGATGATGTTCTTTTGCAGCTTTTGAATGCTCCATTAAAAAGACTTTTGTAATGGGTTGCTTCCAATATGCCTGTTTAGCAAATTAGAGTACCAGGCAGGTTGAATTACTTCTAGCCCAGTTTTTAATTAGAAGGGAACACTCAAACATTATATAAGTGAAACAAATCTAAAGGCTATTTCAAATTTCAGGTATAGGTTATATTTTTAGTTAGAAAATAAATAAAACAGAACATCATGTCTATTCAGAAACCTGACACAATGCAGCAAGGTGTGAAAGCTGGCATGGTGCAACTTTTAGATTTAGTTGGCATGCTAGTATCAGGCACAATTTTTCCTAAGCATGTTTACTTGGAAGTAAACCCCAATGAGTTATTTCCAGGTATTATGTTACAACACCCTGTAAAATGTTAGCTGTGAGTACTTCTTGAAGAAAAATGTTGAGAAAGACTGCTATCACAATAAAAACAGCGTCATGAAAAAAATCAGATGCTTACAACTATGCATATCACTTATGTTTTCTAAATGCAAAGGTGCAACCCAGCAGCGTACAAAAAAGAAAACCAGTTTTTTTTAAAAAAAAATCTATACTCAACCAAACTATGTGATGTACCTGACACAGTTGCAGACTTAGTCCACTCAGTGTTTTCTAGGCATGATGAAGGACTTTCTTGCCCGTTAACCTGGTCACTTAAAAATGGGAGATGAGATTAACGCAGAGAAAACTGTAGGTACACATCAACATCATGTACATAGTAGCACTTTCAGCTTTCCATGCACACAACTGGGAAAGTCATTTTTGGAAAATTGAAAGTGCACCTCAGTGCTGGTAGAACTTCACCAAATTCACCAACTTCACCCCAGGAAAATGCACACACTGTAGTCTCTGACTCTGGTGTTTTCTCAGCAACCCAAACTAGAACATAAACGCCAACTTTCTGATAAACTGGAGAGTTGGGCTTCCCGCCTAGCCCAATAACTTCCTATTATCTGACTGGGACTACCAACCACAGCTCACAATCAGAGTATCAATGCAGAGGCTGCCAAGTGTTGACACAGAAACTTCTTGGCCTAAGTTAACTCACCACAATCAGTTTGGGAATCTTATAGATAGAGCAGGGGTCTCTCTGCTCCGTCCAGCCTTAGCTAAGCAAAAATAGCCATAAATTTATTTATGTCTTCTGGTGCCAGTCTTGAAAGCCAACAGGCAATCCCCAGCTGAGGCAAAAGGCCCATCATCATATTATATACATTTTAACCAGCTAGTTATAGGAGCAATGAAAGCCCAAATAGTATTTCCTCCTTTTGTGCTTCCACCTCACTGATTATTACCAGTACCACTTGTGTTTACCATTATCATAAGTGAGACTGTCAATTGTTTAATACAGTTAATAATTTTATATATTACTTACATTTTCCCACAAGTTGTATTTAAACACTATTTCATGAATCAATCAAAGCATGCTGCAATTAAACCGTCAGGCCACAAGAGGCCGCCATTATTGAACATAAAATACTGACAAACTTCTTTTTCTATTCAAGACTGAGAGAATCAACAGTACAAAGGATTTTGCTGTCATGAAATAATGAAGTGAATCTAAATGTTAGCCTTAAATTATACTTATGGTAATTTCTTAGAGCAATTGGTGCTCATGCAAAATGTATATATTAACATCTGATCTTCAAAAAAGGTATACATTTTATATTTTCAACAGAAAATATTAGGTAGATTTTATTTTATTTTACAAAAAAACTGTTTGCTTTGAAATACTCTTCTATCATTTCCATAGTGTTTTGCAGTGTACAAAGCAGTTAAGAGTCTGTGAATTCTCATTTCTGAGCTCAATTAAGATTTCCACAAAACAACCATACATCCATCTCGCCCTTAAAATCCCCACACTTGTTGGTGCTTGTGAGATAAAGACAATTCTCTTAATTATGAGGAGTAATTATCTAACCATCCCATTATGCATATTAAGCTTCTGTTAACCAACTTGGGAAGGCTTTGCTGTGAAAGGTGGCATAGAGTACTTTTAAAGAAACAAGAGTTCTGCTTGAATTTCAATGGTCCCGTGGTAATTTGGTCACAAAATGTTAATATGAAGCAACATTTACAGCCAGTGAATCCACTGGGCAGTTCTTATGGCTAGAAGTTCATGTCTAAGTTACTATCAAATTCCAGGAAAGGGGACACAAGGTTAGGGGGGAAAGGGAGGAGGGGAACTAGAGCAGAAGCTTATGTTTGAATTATTTGGTTTTTTAGATCCCATAGGATTTTATACAACTCATACTTATGAGTAGGTCAATTGATTTCATTGGGTCTACTCTGACTTATAACTGTAAGCATGTACCTGAATAACATGGACGTAAGAAAAATTAAAGGTGCCTATTACGTAGAGCAGTGCTTTTGTCAGTGTGAATACTAGAATTTAAAGAGCATCAATCCACTTACATAAGATTTTAATCCTACATACTTTGCTACCATAATTAGGCATTGTCAAATCATATTCACTAAGCACAGCGAAAATGAAATAGAACAATCTGCCTCAAAACTGGAGGGCATGTAAACATCTAGCATTCAAAAGTAATATGGATAAGAAAAAGTGAAAACGTGCCGATAGAGATAAATCAGTTTAGGTGAATGTAAAGAAATTTAACTGCAACAGTAATTCTGCAAAGTGACAAATTATTTGAGTATACCTGCAAATTTAACAATTATCACTCTGTGCGAGGCACAGTCTCATCAATTATGAAGAACGGTAGATGCAAACCCTTTGCAAGCAAGTATTCACTTGGGGACGAAAACTAATTTCCAGCCTTGCTGCCATACAAAATGAGCAGAATGAAAGCAAATTTGGAAAAGCTCAATACGTTTTTGCAGCCCATGAAATCCGTTATACAAAATATTTTAGTATGAAGGGACATAAATCAGCTTAGGATGAAAATGAAGTATATTCTTTCCTTTATATCTGCCTCCTTCCACCAACTTGCCCTTTTCCTATTAAATTTCAAGTGCCCTATGTTTGGCATCCCACTCTGCATCCATTCCTCATTGCCTTTCAATCTCTTTCCTTTTGTTTGGTCTTTCCAATATACCGTAGAATGTGCAGACTTGGACATTGTGTCCAGGACACAAGCTGTTTTCCAATAGCTACATTCTAAACTGTTAGAAGTGGTTATCAAATTACTTTCTCAGGCTCAGTGTTAAAGAAACTTTAGCTGATAATATTACTCTGAAATATTACTACGAAACATATTGTAATAAACTCAAGTGTACTCAAACATTAATTCCATCTTATTTTAGAAAAGTGATAACATAGCAACAGCTGGCACAATCGGGTAATCGTTTGGTGGAGGAGAAATTGGGTACAAATTAATTAGACTTTTTTAAATTCCTGGCCTCTTGGAACTGGCAGATTCTTCTGCAGCAACAATTGCATGCATACAGTCCTGATCAATCTTAAGCAGAGCAGATGCACTGGCAAGAAAGGCAAAAAGTAGAACTAGTGGCTGATAACCATTGGGGAATTAAGTATCAATGACACCTACTTGAATGGAGACAAAATGAGCATCTCACTAAAGTTAATAGGCCCAAGAACATTAAAAAAACATTGCCTGGGAAATCATTGCAATCATCTAACAAGGGCTCAGAATCCATGTTTTAGGGAATGTAGCAAAAAGTCTGCATCCAATACCCTAGCCACCTTTTTGTTTGTTTTTTGTTTGGAAGCTTCATTAGTTGTCATTATTGTTAAACAAAATAATGTTCCTATAAACAATGCAAACAAATCTAGCTTCAATCTTTGAGAAAGAGGTACAAGAGGCTTAAAATACAGCCTGGACAAGAATGATAGTTTTGACCCTGGGTCCTGTATGTTTAGATCCATAAAGAGTATTTGGAGAGGGGCAGCGATTTGCTGTTGTCAGGCAAAGGGGCATAGGAAGTATTCCTTAATTTTGTAAACAGTTGTCTACCAATTTTTAAACATTTTACAATTTACAACAGCAGGAAGCACAAAGTTTGTGCTAAGATTCCTAACACCAATTCAAGAGGAAACCATTTGATCCTTTGGTAGATTAGGAACTAGTTTTCCTTACTGCATCAGGGGATAAAGCTAAAAACACTTGCCAAGGGGGAAGCAAGCCAGTGTCTTTTTAGGAAGCTGGCAGTTGAACCAGGAATAAAGAAATACAATAAAATCTAAAGAAGATGAAAATTAAGCATACATACACACACATATTTGGGTCGCTTCATTCAAAATCCCTGGGGGAAAATAGTAATATTATTATTGGTAAAGTAAAAGACCCCTGGGTGGTTAAGTCCAGTCAAATTTGACTATGGGGTGCAGCGCTCACCTCCACTTTCAGGCCGTGGGAGCCAGTGTTTGTTCGCAGAGAGCTTTTCGGGTCACGTAGCCAGCATGACTAAACCGCTTCTGGAGCAACGGGGCACCATGACGGAAGCCAGAGCACACGGAAACACTGTTTGCCTTCCCACCACAATGGTACCTATTTATCTACTCACGCTGGTATGCTTTCAAACTGCTGGGTGGTAACATTATTTGAAAGATTTATTTCATTTATAACTATCAGTAACTGGAGAGTTACTAAGGATTCCAAATAGTAGCATATTTTACAGGAGGAATTTGAACAGTTATCATCTTTAATATGTAAAATCATTGTTTTGCCATGTAGTTGAAAAATAATGTTTTTATTTGGCCTCTAGCATATCTTAATTTTTGAGCTAATTTTTCAGCAATAGCTATGGACCAGATTTAACTATACCATAAATCCTTATTTAATCCTTCTTAAATATATCCATTTTCTTGTGATAACCATCATGACAGCTAACAATGGTATAGTGCCATGAAGCTACCCTCCTGACAGTGATACCACTGTCACCAGGGGCACGGGGAAGGGCAGTGAGGTCACTGAGATCAGTGCTGTGTTGGTGCACTGCTGGACCCAAGATGGCCCTTCTGCATCCAGTGCCATCCTGCACCCTTGCACCACCCCAGTAGGCAACAGTGATGCTGATGCCAGTAGCATGGCTCCATGACAGCACTGCAGCACACCAGCTGCTCCCACTTTTAAATGTTTTGTGTGAAAATACCTGAAGATAAATAAAATACTGACCATTGATTGCTGCACTGAGGTGAAGGCAAAATGTCTGTCATTTGTGGATATACTTCTTCCCCTTCTATCTTATTTTGATGCTCTTTATATGTTAATGGAACACACTTATCCTTAAAGGTCAACTGGACAGTCAGGTTTTGACTTTCATCTCTAGTTCCAGAACTATCACACGTGGTAGGATGGTCTTCAAAATTCAGTGTCTTACCTGTTTTAACAAAATGGTTAAAGTGTTCTTATAAAGGAAACATACAGAAAGATGTCCTTGAAAGGACAGCTAGTCTTCTGAAATATTATTATTCACATTGTAATAACTGTCCTTGCTAGCTGGCATTAACTAAAATAAGAGAAATCTGTATAAAAGGAACTGATGCAGGCTGGTATTCTTTCCATCAAAGTTTTTTCTAAAGACACATGAACTCCTAATGACATCTTTATTCATAAGAGCTCAACCTTTCTACTGTATAGAAACTTTTATTCCTAAACTAAGTGAAAATGTTTTATATACTGCAGCATCAGTAGTAAGATAAGGTTAAAGAAGCACACACAAATTTAATGGTTTTTTGCAAAGCAGTCTCTCTCTAACTTTCTTCCCAAAGGACAAAGCAGTGAAAATATGCTTTCGTCATGGATGCTTTAGCTGAAATAATATTTCTGCACTACAAGGAGGTTGGACTAGATGACCCTCAGGATCCCTTCTAACTCTTCAATTCTATGATCCCACCCCCTTGATGGAGAAGTAATCCCCTCTATCTTCTTAGATAGTATAGAAATCAAGAACTACATATTGTATCCATCTGTATATAGATGGATGTGCTCCAAGCTAACTATCTGGCATTTCAACCCAACCCAAATCCACCAAGGGATCAGATTTTTTTTTAAAAGAAACTATTCCAGAGTTTGATGTATCTTCACTGCAGTTGTCTGGATCCTTGGTTAGTTCTATTGGTGAAATGGGAGGAAGGTGACTTTTGGCAATTATCCACCCCCCTGCAGCCCCTTGCAGCCCCTGAAAGTCTCTGGAGGGCTCAGGGACTCTCTGGAACAGAGTGGTGGGGCTACAGGAGGAATTGGTGAAAAACTGTCCTCCCTCCTTTTGATTGTGGGTTCCTCCACTGGACTGAAAGTCTTCCATAGATGGAAGGAACCCATCCATTTGTAGAAGGTTAATTTATGGACTAACTACACGAGAGGATGGCGCCATGATAGTATTCATAAGATTGATTTTGTTAAAATTAAATACCAGGCACATGGGGTAGTGAGGAGGATAGTCAACAGAACAGCAAGCGGGGAGGGGGAAGCATGGCTTTCTAAATAGCTCAGTTGGTTAGAGAGGGGTGCTGATAACACCAAGGTTGCAGGTTCGATCCCCATATGGGACAGCTGCATATTCCTGCATTGCAGGAAGTTGGACTAGATGATCCTCAAGGTCCCTTCCTACTCTCCAGTTCTATGATTTAAGCCTTCCCTGCCAGCCACAATCTCATTAAAAGTCACACAAACATAGCCAAATTTAGTAACTAGAGGCCCCCCTCCCCAAAATGCTATCTGCCCAAGCATTTATGTTTTGGGAATGTGTGAGTTTTAATGAGATTAAACCTCCCCTCTCCCATGCTGTGAATCCAATAACTACTGCAGCTCCCCCAGCCTGGCATTTCATTGTAAAAACAACACTATTTCTGATCACATCATTAGCATCTTGCACAGTTTGGCCCTTAGGATCCACACCAATGTATGAAAAGACATTTCACTTGGGATGAACTGCAAACTAAATCACTGGACTTTAAGAGAAGGGCCATAGTTTAGAAACAGAGCATCTGAAATGCATGTGGGAGGTTTCAAGTTCAATCACTTGGCATCTCCAGGAAGGGGAGGGAGAGAACCCTGCCTGAAATCCTGGAGAGACAATATAGAGCTAGATGGATCAGTGGTCTGAGTCAGTATAAGGCAGCTTCCTAGGTTCCTAGGACCGCAAGCTAGGGCTGCTGGAGCAGAAAATTTTCTGCATCAGCAGTGAGTTGGACTAGGGGACCTTTGAGATGCCTTCAAACTCTATGACTCTATGAAATCCAATTGTTCAGTTAGGCTGACTTTAATATATTTTATAATCTGAGTTCTTACAAAAGCTTGGTAGAAAGGATTAAATAGAAACAGTCTTACACTCATTGGGAAGTAGTATTTTATCTGGGAGAAGGTTTCCATGAGATGCGGTTCTAAACAAACGGGCACGAGCATTGCTGATTCTCCTAATTTCCTCTGAATCTATTGGTGATTTAGGAGGTGAAATATGATGCTCCTCATTATTCCTGGGTGATGACAGCAGCTTTGGCTTCTGTTACAAGAAAAGATCTAATTCAACATACAGCCACTTGTAAGAATCAGAAGATGGAGGTTATTAATATTATGGGTCTTGCCATAATCTATTTATTGACAAATTTCTTCTCATAATAGTTTTCCCTGAGCAAGAAGTTCCACTAAACTTAAGCCAGTCTGTTTACTACTTCATCTTATCTTCCTGGTAAATAATAGGAGCTGACTCTGAGGTCTTAAGTGAATTCACAAAGGAACAAATACTCCGAAGGGTATTCTTGTTACAGATCACTGTAGTGAAATTCCACAAAACTTATTTACACACATTTCCAAAGATGGTTTTTGGAAAGAAGGGGGGGTGGGGGAAGCAAGACATGGATGCTTCAGTATCAGCCTTTGTAATTTTACTTCCAATGGATAGGACTAGGGATATGTCACAGTTCCACGAGACTGCAAAAAAAAGCACCGAATGTGGTATTGGGCACAAATTCACTTTCCTGATAATCTAATTGTAAAAAGCAAGTTCCTCCTGTGCTGTGTAAGAAATGCTTGCAGAGACCTAAGGAGCCAGAGAGGCAGCTGAAAAATACTTAAGTGATGGAAAGTGGCCTTAAGTGTCAATCTGCATTAAGTTTGCAGAATGTAGTCTTTCTTGGCACATAATTTTAATGGAGCACAGAATACACAAAGCCCTGCTAAAAGATAATACATACATGGTCCAGTGGGCTTAGACGTGCACAAGAGACAGGCCTTGATTCAACCCATTCAAAGCTGGAAGCATGGAGACTGGAATGAAAAAAAGGAACATATTAATTAAATGTGTAGATAACATGTTTTTCTCCACAAAGTACTTTCTATGTGCATACTAATGGAGTGAAAATTCTACCTCTGCCAAATTGCTTTACTGAAAATTGCTTCTTTGGAATGCAAAACAAAACACAGGTTAGAGAAGATGTAAAGAAAATAAAGGGGCTAGTTATATGCCATGGTGCCTATTCTACTTACTCAATGGCACAAGGAATAACACTGCCTTATTCCTAGTCATCCCTCTATGCTGGCTACTGAGCAGCTGTAATGGCAATCCATATTGTGATAGTGCTCCTCTTTTAGAAGCAATTCCTTTGGGAATGTCAAAATCAACAAGAGCAGGAGATGACACATCCAGAAAGCAAATGAGAGGTGCTTCAGCTTCCTACACATTAAACCTAATAATAGTTTTGGGTTGACAGTGAATACTTCTTTTCCTTTTAAAAGTTGTCAGAAACACTTCAGTTATTTCTAGCCAAACTTCTTATCAGCTACATCCATACAGAGGAAGCATGTACTCCCTACCAAATAGATGGACAATTTTATACCTGCGTTTTTATACTTCTCTAATTCACCTGAATCAATATTGGTGACAGACACTTAGATTTTATCCCCCATTCACATGGAATATAGGGCTATAGCCATTCCCTCCAAAACCCCATACCTAAAAGCAGAAGGTGGTCTATTTTCAGGTGTTCTTGAAGACGCAGATCCAAAAAGCTTCCTTTGCTCCTCCTTTGGTGTGAACGGTCTTTGGGTTCTTAAAATCCTTAGTGTATTTCGTGCTTCATTTATTATCTCAGCACTGGTCTTCTGGACAGCTAATGGGGGCTTATAGAAACCTTCCGAATATTCTACATTTTTGTTCTTTGTGGGCTTCATTTTTCTGATAGAAATGAGTTTGCAGTAAGTACTCCAACACTGTGCAGAAGAGATAGGAAATAGAAAACTTCTAGAAACTTGTTTGCAATGTCAGTATTTCAAGGTTCAGATCACACTCTGATGAACATCTAATCCCGGTGTTTCCCACTGCATTGGTCATTAGTTCATGCTGCTCAGCCATCTGTCTGCACCACAGATTAGCATGGTCAGTCTAGTCTGCATGGCAGCAGAAGCTATTCTGCTGCAGGATTCTCCAGTGCTGCTTTGTTTCTGCTATTATTGATATATTGGTGTTACTTCCTGATACAATTAAAGTAATCAGCAGCACACGCAAGTGCAAATGCACCCTTAAGGCATCAAGACCATTACGAAATACAGTGGTACCTCGGGTTACATACGCTTCAGGTTACAGACTCCGCTAACCCAGAAATATTACTTCGGGTTAAGAACTTTGCTTCAGGATGAGAACAGAAATCGTGCTCCGGCAGCGTGGCAGCAGCAGGAGGCCCCATTAGCTAAAGTGGTGCTTCAGGTTAAGAACAGTTTCAGGTTAAGAACGGACCTCCGGAACGAATTAAGTTCTTAACCCGAGGTACCACTGTAAAACATTATTTCAGACAATCTCTAAATTCACAGAACCTATGCACAGCATAGCCTTGCCCATCAGATATGGCTGCTTTAAATAAATGCCTTAAAAATAATAAATTATTGCTTTCAGAATCTAAAATATTTATTTGCAGTGTTATATGTGGCCCATGGTAAGATGTAAGATGAGCTTAATACACACATGAAGGTAACACTTATGTGATGTTGAAGAGGGCATTTTGTCTACAGTGTATTGTTTATATAGGATGACAAGCTGGATATTTTTTGTCTTTTCAGTGCATTTCTGTAGTAAGGTTTACTGAACATTTTCTTCTTGTTCAGCAAAAAAATCCTGGATAATAAACCAAATTTGAAAAATCCCCTTGGGGTGTTATTGGGAGCTGCTGGTATGCATGTGTGTGGGGTTGTTTTAACAGAGTAGAAGAGCAGTATTTAAACTCTATGGTCTCCTGGAGGACTTCCAACATACATTTAAGGCCATTTTGGAAAGTGTCCTGGATATTCCATCTGAACTATGTCAGAGTATCTCCTGTGTGGTTTTCTAACTTCCGTCAGTATACAATTTATAACTTTACATTTTACAACTTCTACCTGCATTATGCATGTGGTAGCTGCATTACTGGGGGACAAAGGCAGGCCAGACACACTCAGCTGATGGGCCAGGTGGTTGTGATCCCACTTTTCCACAACTTTAGAGCCGATGTGGATTAGCCCATTCAAAGATGCGGCTTTTGGAACCTGGGAGAGAAAGGCACTCTCAGATAACTCAAGCTTCCTTGCAGTACTGAAGTGCCAATGATTATTATCCTACTGCTTTATTATTAATGGCAAAGAAACAATGGAGAAGTACAGTGAGCACAGAACATCACTTACCAGCGGGAAGGAAGTCACACAAACATATGCACAAAAGATACTCACCAAAGGATTCACTGCTATGCACTTTCAGGGCCAAACACAACAGTTTCCTGACTCCATAGAAAACTTCATTAAATAACCATATAAACACCCACAAGCTGAAGATGTGGTAAATACTACAATGATGATATCACAGCAGGATCTGAATGATAAAAAGAAAACATTTACTGTCAAAACAAACAAGACAAGTTATCAGTGCTATCTAGGGATTGTTCTAATAGAAAATGTAAACCGAAACTACAGCCAAAAAGAACAAACACTAATATCCTACACAAGACAGATCATCAACTTAAAAAATGCAAGCTCCAGACACTCCATATCTCAATGAAAGATTTCTTCCACATTTATGCAGCTTAAGGCAACATGCCAACTCAATTTCTTTGTAGATAACCAACAAAAATCTAACCAGAATATTTATTGTTAATTTGTTGCCTCCGCTGCATACAAAGGCATGGCAGTTTGACTTCTAGAAAAAACTTCTCAGGACTTTGCGTAATGTGCTTCTTTCCAAACCACTTCTTTTTAAGCACAAACTCCACAGCCATTACAGTATTACATTCTTTCAAGGAATCCAAGCTTCTTACTGAACAGTAACTGGGACCTACTTCACAGATGCATATACACACTTGATTTCTCTGTACTTCTTTAATTTACACTGGATGACTAGCAGGTGAATGCAGGTTTCTCAAAGAGGTTGGTCTGCTATTATGGCTTTTCTCACTTAGAAATCATTTTAAAAGCTTTTGAGAAACCTTCAACGGAATTGGCTGAAAACAACTGCTCTTAGGTATGCCAATTGGCCTCTGAAATTCAACATGCGGAAAATGCAGCTGGGAAACTACACATTCATTGAACGCTGAGCAAGCTGGAGGGATTTATTGGCAGGAAGAACTTCCTGCCAGACCTTATGAAAACCATAGGCTGTGCCAACAAAGTTTTAAGTCTTTTAAGTTTTTAAGTGTTAAGTTCTTATTTCAGTAGTTACATGGACTTTTCTATAGCGGTTAGATGTATGTATGTTTGTTTGTTTGTATGTATGTATGTGGAAATACAATTCAGTATATGGTAACCCAGTTCACACATCAACCATGGCTCAGCATGTGGGCTCATGAAGTGAAGATCACGGCTGCTGTACTCCTCATCCAATCCTGCTGCTGCTGTGCTATCTGAGGCTAAGCTATGGTTTGGTTTTGGGCTCATCCATACTGTCATTTGATGTGGATAGTAAACTTCACATACTTCCATTAATTGTTAGACATCTCACCAAACTACAATACCCAGGGTTTCTTTGAGGAAGTCATGAGAGTTAAAATGATGAGTGAACTATACAAATTTTTAGAGTAGATTAACAAACAAACCAATTTTCTAATCTGGAAAATTGCATCAGATACGTATATTTTTTGTGAGTTGTTTTTGTTTATGTTTCTTTTTTGTTTCTTCTCTTCTATCACAAACTCCAAGCTGGAGTCATGATTTTGGCTTGTAAGTACTAACAGTAGGTTATATTTTAATTAAATAAGTGCTATAATCAAATGATAAATTAAATTTGTGACAGGAATATAAACAGAAACAAAATCTTTCAGTTTCAATTCCTATTATACTCCCTGTTGCACTGTGGAGTTTTAGAACAATTCCTATGTCACTGGTCTCAGTCTTTGAAGAATGAGTCATTTCCTTCTACTTTAAAATCCTTACATTTTGCTCTAGAGATATACCATTTATTGGATTTTAATATTTGCTCTCTTTTAATTAAGTAACTGGCAACCTGGGAGACATGAATACATTCTGTACTGCAGCAGAAGCATAGCCCATGACAGGTTCTAATTAAGTTTCAATCAAATCTCCTTTCAATCTTAAATTGTCTGCCTTACAAGTACATTTATGATGGAGGCGTTGATTGCAGAGCCATAGTCAAGCCTGCAAACAGAATTTTATTAAAAAAAATAAATTCCTGTCTCCTCACTTACCACATTTTGACCAACTCTGCTCATAATGAAAAAGTTATGATTTATTCTTAGGATATGGCATAATTCCCTCAAAAATAATAAAACACACATTATTAAAAACATGCTCCTTCAGTATTTGTGTTTTATGTTTTATTTGAATAATGAAGGAGCCACATATTCTTAATCTGAATGGCATTCCTACACTGGAAGAGTCATCATGTCTTTGAAATAAAAACTAATCTGAATTCTGAGAAGAAAAATAAAAGTTAGCAGCACATCAGAGCTGCTTTCCCCCCAGTGATTCGAAAAGATTAAAAACTCACAAAGAATCGTACTGATCAGGTCTCAGGAAGGGAATTCAGGAGAGGAATTCAGGAGAGGAATTTCTTCTGTTGTAGCCCCCCCTAAGGCCGTTGCCAGAGGCATACCTAGGCCCCCTTGTACCCTAGGCAAGGAGCTAATAGTGCTGCCAGCTGGCCAGAAAGGCGGCCCTACAGGCCTGCTATGATGGAGTCAGAGTGGATGGGTGTGATTTCTACGCCCCCCCCCCCTTGACCTGGGCCCTTGGCAGGGCCAACCTTACCAATACCTAGGTACACCCCTGGCTATCACTGTCTATATAGCACTAGAGGATTTAGGGTTAAGGCTGCCTGCCTGCCTTGATTTATTCTCAACTCTCTTTTTTTAATAGCAGGGGTGAGGATGCTGGGAAATGTTAGGCGTGTCCCTTTCCCCTTTCTTTCATTCTGAAACATACCAGTATAGTCCAAGGAAGGGAGTTTATTTTAACTCTAAAAGCATACACCACCACCCAATTCTAATCTCCCCACCCTCCAGAATACTTACTTTTTATATATATTAGTGTTTTAGTGTATGCCACTCTAATACCCGTAGGGAGAGAGGGATATAAATGGTTTTAAACAAATAAGTTAATAAATAACTATAAACTGCTATTGAGCATGGCCATTTCTCCTCCTCCTTCCTCTACAAATGGATACAATTGCATTCCTATATCTTGAAAGCAAACGTGCTTGTTGCACTGTATTTGGAGTGTGTGTTTTAGATTATTACAAACTTCTATATACATTTTTTAAAAATTTGGTTACCCAAGCTAAATGAACAGGCACTCAGTTGCCCAAGTTCACAATAAGTTAGGGACCAATTTAAGATAGCCAGACTAAAAAATTATAAGATCATCCTTTTGTCTTCATTTGTCATAGTTTTCCAAACTCTTTTAAATAACAGTTTTCAGGCCTGGTGTAACTTGAGCTATTCAGATTATTCCTGAACCAATCATTGATACTTCAAAGGAATCAGAAGAATCAGTGCAGCTGGCACAACTTCCCCACCACAGTTGTTTTAAATGAATTTAAATGAATTTACTAGCTGGGGCTTTTCACAACCACCACCCCTGCCTTACACACACAAACACTTCCTGAGCAGAAGCAGCCATATACACATAGGCTAGATAGTGTGGGATAACTTCAATATAGTTATAACAGGAACTCAGCTGCAAATAAATACTACGTGATTTAAATAGCTGGCTTCACAATTACTCCTGTTTCTGACCGACACAGCATATTATATTTTTGCACAGGCAAAATGTAGGACATTTATGTATTTGCTATTCACAACAATTCACACAACAAGCTGATTCTAGAGAGAACCGAGTTGGTACCAGTGTGGTTCTTCTTGTCTTTAAGGCTACATTTTCTATATATTTACCTATTTAACTTTCAGTATCTTCTAGGAATAGATGCATTTCTAACCACCACCACCAAACCTCAATCCCAATCCAAGGCTTGAGTGCAGGTGGGCACCCATGATGCCATCCGCCAAGAGAGTTGGCAGCCCAGGAAAAGTCCAGTAACTCACACAGACAGACGGACGTAGGTATATAGAGGGAGAATTTAGGCAGTCAGGCCAGGAAGTCCTTAGCAGTTCCTGCTCCAGGCGGCATCCTGTTCCCTGGGAACCGACCAGGTAGCCTCGGTCACCATAGCAACCACACACGCGCGCGCAGAAGCCCTACTTAGCTGCCCCCTTACTCCGACCCTCCACACCTTGGGCTCCCCGTGTCCTCCAAGCTACTGAAGGGAAGAAATGTATCCGAGATCCTGCGAGGAAAGGCCGGTCGCCGCGGCAGCCGCTGCTGCTTTTTCTGCTCCCGTCGCAGCCGGTGCACCGTAAGAGTGGGCAGCGGGCGCCTCCGTCGTCGGTACTGGGCATGCTCGGAAGAACGGCGCATGCTCTATAGCAGCGGTCGAAGCTTTGCCCTTATCCCCCCTCGAGCTACTTCCGCGTTGTAGTTTTTTTAATACGGCAACCTGTCCCGAAATGTTGGCGGGCGAGCAGGCGGGAAAGGCGGGGCTGATCTGCCGCAAAAACGACATCGTAGTATTCGTCCATGCTAACTGTGCTAGGTGGGAAGTCATTTATTAGCGCTCAAGTTTAAATAGGCCTAATGGACCTAAATAGGACCTAATAGTTTACCTTTACCTTTAAATAGGCACCACATTGCCGCTGGTTCTGCTGAAGTGTTCTCTGGCAGCATAGTTACTCTGCCCGGTATCGGGTTACAAAGTCAGCTCTGTGCCCACGACTTACATCAGTTCACTAGGGGTTTCCACAGCGATGCCTTGACCGGCGCAACAGACTTTAGCCCCATCTTAATTGCACTAGTTTGTTTTTATTCCTTGCTCACTATAACTGCAACACCCTTATATGTAACATCACGACTACTTTTTCTACCTGTGTGTCGTCTCTAAGATTTATATGTTACATTATTGCTTCATTTATATATATTTATGTCAGCAACCCTGTCACTCAGCCTAAATAATAGAATTGCAGAGATGGAAGGGACCCCAAAAAATAATCTAATCCACACCCTAAATCTTTGAAACCATGTTGATCTACAGATTATATTATATTATATTATATTATATTATATTATAGCAGCAGCTGCAGATCTGGCAAGGGCTCTAGTCTAGATCATTAGTGGGCTTGCTAAAAGAAAAGGGGTACTTCAAGATGGGCATTTATTGCAGAACATGTTCTTCTAGACAGGGTTTTGGTTCTAGATTGTGCTGGAGTAGATAGGGCTTTGGTTTAATCCAGCAGGACTCAGTTTACATTCTTATAAGCAGACAATGAATAGGATTACGTTGCAAATTCCAATGAGCTCAGTAGGACTTCTTAGTAAAATTGTGCTGTACAAGACTTTCCTGCCCTATTTTGACCAGCTTTTAGTCTAAGTAATGCAGAAAATTAATCAAGCTCACTTTGTTTTGACTTTTCTCCCCAAACAACTCCTTTTAGCAATGGTCCTTTCCGGGCCCCTTGCTTTGTATTTCTATTTGCTTTTCTTCCACAGTCAGATTCCAAAACATATAAAAGCTGAGGCATTTATAAAGAGGTTCCATTCTTACCTTATTGACATTTATTTCATACATGTAAAGACCTAAGGCAAGTGTGCCTGTCATGCTCACCAGAAGATCCCAAAAAGCCCTTTGGAGTCCATCAGTGTCCATAAGCATCTGAGTGTGAATCACATTAATAGACCTCCCATGCATTTAGAGGGGAAATGCAAGTCTAGATTTCAACCAGAAGTAGTTCAATCATAATAATGCAAAAACCCCCATTTTCAGATTACTATCTTCCTGTGTGGCCAAGAAACAACTATCAGGTGTATCTTGCTTTATGTGTTGGACTAAAGACATGTTGGAATAGCTCAGGATTGTAATGGCGCCCATAAAGACCAGAGCCATCAAGGACCTGGTGACCTTAGCATGAAAACTAGGTTCCCCCCAGCGCAGAACAACCATCCTGGGAATCTTCAACACCATATCCAATACCGCCTCTGTCATGTGATTCACCAGCACAATTTTTAATCTGTCCTGGTCACTCAACACAAGATACATATACTCCATACTGCACTCAAACAGACAAGAAGCCTGAAGACAGTGAGACTTCAGAAACCCTCCATCGCCGCCACCAGTTCTGACTCTATTCTGGTACTGAACTGAGTACTTAAGTAGGAGGGCATAACTAGGAGAAACTATACCCTCAGCTCGTCAAGCCACCTTTCAGTTATACAAGCCAGGTCAGCCTTTTTATCCATCATGGAATCATGGGTCAATGAGATTTTGTTAGGAACTGACTTTGCATTTAATAGCAGCACCAGCAGACTGCAATGCAAAGATGTAAGGAAATCACAAACCATCGGTTGAGAAAGAAACTGAATAAGTGAATAAGCATAAAGCTCACTTGGCGCCATCATTACATATCTTTAGGTGCCAGAGCTGTTCAGCAGCCGAAATTACTCCCTCAGAAAGTGGTGCTCTTCTTCATGGGAGGTTTGAAAGCAGAGGTTGGATGGCCATCTGTCATGGATGCTTTAGTTAAGATTCCTGCATTGAAGGGAATCAGACTAAATGACCACCTGAGTCCCAATTCTTCAGTTTTATGATTCTATGAAAAACTTTCCTCTATAACCATGTCTTTGGCCTTTAACTATTTGTGGCCTTTTAGAATTGGTTGGCATGCTTTTAATGTATTTCACACACACCCCTCCAGTTTTACTGTATTTGTGGAGGGTTTTGCTTCCCTGTTGGTTATAAGTCACTTAGGGCTGCCCTGGGCAAGATAAAACACAGTGGGGAGGAGCATAGAGAGAGAGACAGAGGAAAACTAGAAAGTAACACTTCTTAACAAAAATTTACAAGTCTCAGTATAAGGCAACCCCTTACACAGAAAGTGATGAAACTACAACTACTTAATTGGAAAAACATCACATCACAAGTCCTATTCCCCTTACGCTTGACTCTCCAGCCTTTTTAATCCTAACCAACCTAAACCTAAGAACATAAGAAGAGCCTGCTGGATCAGGCAAATTGCATATATAGTCCACCACCTGGTTCTCTCACAGAGATAATTATAAATGTAAGGACACAAGAAGAACCTGATGGATCAAGCCAAAGGCCCATATAGTCCAGCATCCTGTTCTCAGTGGCCAACAAGGTGCCTGTGGAAAATCCACTTTCTCCATGCCATGCATAATTTTATAAACTTCTATCATGCCACTCTTGCTCACCTTTTCTTTAAAATTAAGAAGTTCCAAATGCTGCAACCTTTTCTCTTAGAGGAGTTGCTCCAGACCCTTATCATTGTGGCTGAAGCTCTTCCAACTCTACAATATCCCTCTTGAGGTAAAATTTCTGCTGCACCCCAAAGGGGGAAATTGGGGAAAATTGGCCAGCCCATCCCTGGAAGCGCTACAAAACCTGAAAAGTTAGCTTGATCAACAACTATGGTGGGACAAAAAGAAAGAAGAAAGTATGGTGGGGCAATGGCAATTCAACAATGCAGTTTCCAGCACTTAAAAAAGTTCTGTCTTTTTTAGCACCTAAGCCTTCAGTCCTAAACAACCTACTTGGATGTAAATTCCACTAAACGAAATGAAGAGTTTCTTCCAAGTAAAGGTGGTTCGGATTGGGATTATAAACTGATATATAAGAAAAATCATTTTCATATGTCATTCTGGCTTTATAATACCAGTACTGAAATTAGGAGACGTTTTCCCTGTTGGCTATGTAGTGTCACCAAGTTCACAAAGAGAAATATATTATTTTTCTGTATATTTAAGATTCTTCTCATCTGTATTCCTCCTTTTTTCTTTTCCTGTGCAGGCAGACACCACAAAGGAAATCAAACTCCATCTGCAATGAACTAATTTTTCTTGGTGCTCCATTGTTCTCTGGTCCCCCTCTTGGTTTAAGAATCAAAAGGCAAAAATATTCATTTTCTGACACATAATGGACAATTAATTGTTCTCTCTGGCTTTCTCCCCAGAACCTTTCCTTTACCTATATAGCATCCAGTCAAAACCTCTGGATCTAGTTCCATGATGCTGGCAAAATAATGAGCATGAACCTTTTCCCTATGATTATCATAATCTAACATTTCTTTGAGCCACTTTTGTATAAAAGTCACTAAGCTTTCTTGGCTCCTTCTCTAACTCTTTTCATATGCACATTATTTTTATTCTCCCCATTCTCTAGGTTGTCAAGTTCAAGAGTTAATTTTTATTCCACTGCTTTGTTTCCCTTTGTAATTTTTATTTGCCATGTCTTAATGGTTGAAATCCCTTGCACCTCATTCTTTTAATTTATAAAAAAGGTTCCTTCTTCAAATACACATACTTTCTTCATCTATCTACTATATCTGGAACAGACTACATTAGGATGTGTCATCAAACCAAGTAACATACACTAGGATCTGGGACTTATGGAATGCTGCAAAAGAAAAAGTCTTTCTAGAAAATGTAATTTCTCCTTAAACTCACCCTGAACAATGGCTTCAGCACAGTTACAAACTAGTGTGTCATCATGCTAATGGAGGCGTGAGTCAAAAAAGAAACTAAAATCTGTGGTGGCTGTTCCTATATCATACATTGAAAGAGACATCTGAAAAATAGTGGGAAAGACTTGGAATCACAATTTTCATTTATAAATAAATAATCCCTGGATGGCTTACAAACAAGGCAAAATTAAAAATTATACAGCATGATAATGAAAATCAACAATAAGCAGTAAAAGACAGCAAAAAATGTTAAATAGAAAACCTTGCAACAGTGACAGTATAAACAGTTTACAGCACAGACTCAAAACACAATGAAAAAATATGGGTGAATGAAAGGTTATTCACTTACAAAAAAACCCCCACACTCAACAATAGAGAAGGCTCTGGGCAACCTATTCCATATCTGGGGTTCCTGTACCAAAGGCAATGAGGGAGGAAATTTAGGGTCTGGGCAGTGTGTAGTATATAAAAAGGTAAAGGTACCCCTGCCCGTTCGGGCCAGTCTTGCCAGACTCTAGGGTTGTGCACTCATCTCACTCTATAGGCTGGGAGCCAGCACTGTCCGCAGACACTTCCGGGTCACGTGGCCAGCATGACAAGCTGCATCTGGCGAGCCAGCACAGCACACGGAACGCCGTTTACCTTCCCGCTGGTAAGCGGTCCCTATTTATCTACTTGCACCCGGAGGTGCTTTCGAACTGCTAGGTTGGCAGGCGCTGGGACCGAACGATATAAGTTGCATTTAATCATGATTTACCATTCCTATGTTAAAGACAGTTTATCTTGTCCACTATACATAATCAGGAGCATAGTGTGAGATAGTATATGATCATTGCCCCAATCTCAACAAATCCAGTAAGAAAAACTCATACCTAGACGTAGTGTCCCAGCTAATGTAGATACAGATGTGCATCTGGATAAACTTACCCTCTGCATCACAATGTTCACACAGGTCTCATTGAATTGGCTGGATTTATATTTTGATGTCCATGAAAATACTCTCCAAGTGGGATAACCTGTGGTTACAAACAATTTATTGTCTACAGTTAGATCTGTGTAAGGTTCATGCCATTAAAAAATGTACTACAGTGGTACCTCGGGTTACATACGCTTCAGGTTACAGACTCCACTAACCCAGAAATAGTACCTCAGGTTAAGAACTTTGCTTCAGGATGAGAACAGAAATCGTGCTCCGGCGGCGCGGCAGCAGCAGGAGCCCCCATTAGCTAAAGTGATGCTTCAGGTTAAGAACAGTTTCAGGTTAAGAACGGACCTCCGGAACAAATTAAGTACTTAACCTGAGGTACCACTGTACATTTAAGGCTGATTGTTTTCAAAATCACCATAGATTTTGCAAAATTCTGTAGTTTACCCAATGACACAAAATATCTGTTGCCTCTGAAAATCTCCTTGAGTGAAATAAGGGTCTAGACTAGTGGTTCTCAATTAGCTAAGTACTGCGGACCCCATTTTTCAAAAGCCAAGTCATGGACCCCCTACTTTTGAAAATTTTGATATCTCTATGGAATTTTTTATGTGAATGGTGTCACGGACTCCCTGGTGTCCGCAAACCACCAATTGGGAACCACTGGTCTAGATAATAATTCTTAGTACAGGTGGCAACCATTTTGTGTGTGTTCAACCGACCGCTGATGGGTGGGTCATTTTGGACCCAGAGGAGGGCAGAACGGGGCCTAATGGGGTGTAACAGGGTGGTGTGGGCTTATGCGTGTTCTGCTGATACACACAGAGAAAAAAAAATCCCGCACCTACATAAGCAGCTTTATGATGTTGCAAAAGCTATCTGAGCTAACTCTGGCTTCATCCAAAGAACAAAACCTTCAGCTTCACTACCTAGGTCCAGTGGCGTAGCGTGGGGGGTGCAGGGGGGGCCGGCCGCACCGGGCGCAACATCTAGGGTTAGGGCAAATCCACAGGTTAGGGGGCGCAAATCCACGGATTAGGGGGCGCAAATCCACGGGTTAGGGGGCGCAAATTACTTGCTTTGCCCCGGGTGCTGACAACCCACGCTACGCCACTGCCTAGGTCAAAAGAAGAAATCTTCCCCAGATTAAGGTCTGAATTGATAACATAAGAACATGAGTTATATTGTCAGACCATATCTAGCTCAGTATTGACTGGCGGAAGCTCCCTTGAGTTTCAGACAGCAGTCTTTCTAGCCCTACCTGAAGATGCCAGGGATTGAACCTGGAAGCTTTTGCATGCAGTCCATGTGGTCTGCCACTAAGCAACACCTACATATAGGTAAATGTAAAATGATGTTTACGGGGGCAAACATCTTCAGATATACACTGATGAGGTCTGAGCCAAAGGCATGTGGTTGGTTGCTGAAACAGGATACTGGATTAGGTAGGCCTTTGCACCTTTTTTTATTCCCCTTAGATGTTTCACTTAACATCTAAGAACTCAATAGTTTCCTCACAATTTTGTGTCATTTTGACTGAACTTAGTAAAGGTATTGCCCTGCTATAAATGTTGGATCTAGAAAGGTGACTCCCTGTAATATACCATCTGAGCCAACCAAGAAGTCCCAATAGACAACAGAGTTCTGAACCCTGCCAATGGAAATAAACAACCCCCACTTTCAATCTTATAGTTTACTATGAAAAACCAACAGTTTCTGTCACTTTGAAAAGTATTTTCAATAAACAATTGTTGAGATTGATTACATGCCTCAACTTTGCTTTGACTATTAATCAATCTCAGCTGCTGTATATTACTTTATGAATTACAAGTGTTAAAGATTATCCCATTAAAAAGTGCTCCTGAAAACTTTGAATAATACTTTAGAATATCATTCATTTTGAAAGGCTTCCTTGCCTTGCACTATACAAAGCTTTCCCTGACAGAAGTGCCTTCAGTGTAGGACATATGTGAGAGTGTAATATTTTTGTATTTATTACTTATAAAATTTATATCCTGCCTTTTAGATCATTTCTCACAAAGTGGCAAACAAGAACGTAAAGTTAAACAAGCAAATAACAATAATATATGAAACATTCAAATCACACACAAAAAAATACTAATGGATAAAATGATAAAAACCAACAATTAGTAAAAGATTGAGCCAATGCAAGGTTACTGAGATAGAGACAATCCCAACAGCAGAGAATAATCCCTCCAAATTAGTTGTCCTTCAAGAAAAAGTCTACCAAAAAAGGGGGGGGGACACAAGTCTCCTAATATTTCTGGAAAGTCTGCAGTATTGCAGTCTGAAAGAACCCAATTAACAATGAGTTCCATAGCTGGGGGGCTACCACGGAAAATGCCCTGTGACTTATACCCTCTGGTTTTACTACTTCTGGTGGTAGGCAAATCAGAAGAGTCTCCATTGTTGACCTCAGACTGCCGGCATATTGATTTGGGTGCAGGCTGTTCTTTAAATAGCTTTGACCCAAAACATGTACAGCTTCAAAAAACATAACCAGCACTTTTATTAAAGCATGGCAATGCTACATTAATCAGTATAGCTGGTACAGTAATGGTGCCACATGCTGTGACCGTCTAGGTCCCAACAGAACTCATGCAGCTGAAATTGGATCTGCTGAATTTTCTTAACCATTTTAAAATGTGGCCCCATGCACAGTTCATTGCAGTGGTCCAATCTGGATAACTGAGGAAGGGTTTGGCCTCTCCAGATACAGTTGCACCTGGCATACCAGCCTAAGTTGGTAAAACTGCCACCAGCTGAGCTTCTCCAGTTAGCACTGGATCCAGGAAAACACCTTTGTGCAATTGGTCCTTCAGAGGGAGTATAATCCTACCTAGCAACAACTATAGATATTGATAGATATTGTATTGTTTATATGATGTTAGCTGCTCTGAGCCCGGCTCTGGCCGGGGAGGCCGGAGTACAAATAAAAATTGATGATGATGATGAAACAATCTGCTACACTACTGCTCTTTTACCTGGCTGCAAGCTCAGTTTTCTGACTCTCATGCATTCCAGAACTACCTCCAAACACTGGTTTTGGATTTTATTAGCTTCCCCTCCCTGGAATCAGAAGATGGAAACAAGAAGTAGAGCAGAGTATCATCCTGATACTAGTGATGCTGCAACCCAAACATCTGGACACCTTGCCCCAGCAGTTTCATAGATTAATATTGCACATTGCACATGTGTATATAAGTGCTAGGAAACCATAAATGGCCATGGTTCCCTAATGCATGGACACTATATGGAAACAGAAATGTTCTTGTCTTTATATTTCCTATATTAGGTTCTTCTGTGTAAAAAAATTATAGCAAATGAAGCAGCTTTTAGGACTAGTGAAATGTTCAAGTGTTCCCCAAACGATCTCTGCTGCCTACCTTGTACCCTTTTCGGACCTTTTTGTGTACAAGAACCTCATACAATTATGGAGCTGGAAGCTTTCTCTTTCCCCCATACCTCATTATATGGCACCCTCTGGTTCACCTAGTAGAGGTGCTAAATCACTGGATTTTGGATATGGGGATGAGCACTGCACGCAACAGTCGAATTTGACTGGACTTAACCATCCAGGGGTCCTTTACAATTGCTTATAACCCATATTTCTACTGGAAAATATCCCAAGTGGCTGGCAAAAATGAACTATCCAATTAAAATAGTGCATGTGAACATACAATGGCAGCCAGGTCAATCATAAAATTTAAAATTCAAGTATATCAGATAAGATTTTATTATTAAAAACACGATATAAAAGTGGCAAGGATACCACTCAGTTAAGAAAAGTCTTTGGTAATATCATAATATAATAAAATAAAGATGACAAAAATGATGTAAGGGTTATTTGTGGTTGTGCTTTATTTTTATTGTATTTTATCTTTATTTTTAAGGCAATGACTCCCATCACATAATCTTTTGATTATCATCACTCTATATTTAGAGTGAGACCATATGGTTACTAGCTGATGAATCCAGTCCTCATCTACTCATTTTGTAGATCTTTGTGTATTTTCCTAATGACAGGGGTGGGGTGGGGGATGCATTTACTGACAAAGAAGACAGGCTGAGAATAACTATTTTTAGCAACCACTTCAAGTGCAGTGGACAAATCAAGTAGGTAACCTGCCATGGCAAATTTTACGGTGAGACAAGAGCAGTTACTGTAGTCAGAGAATGAGGACAGGACGGTGGGAAGATTTATTTGCCTTTTCTGAAGTTATCACTTGCTGCAAGGCAAAGATGTTGAAGTATAAAGTTTGCTCTCAGGCAATTCCTTAGTGCTTGCTTATGGAGATTTAAAAAAATACAACCAGAACAGCCAGTCCTGCTAGATGCCATGCAATATAAACAGATATCTGTTGTTAAACAGCCTGGTCAAAAATTAATAAAGTGTGGGCCATTTAATAAAGAAGTTGCATGGTGAAAGGCAGGTTACATGTCATTTGGAAAAACCAACGTAGTCCCATGGCATTATTATCTTCAATGATTTGCCCAAATTCTTAACAATATGTTGCTTAGTTTGGCTGTTTGCAAATAGTACATATTACATTTTTTAAAAAACAACCAGGGCAAATATATGGAATATTGATGCCCTATGCTGCTCCCGTTAAAAGCTCCCGCACAGTGTTAATTGTTCCTACTGCACTCTAATATCTATTTTTCAAATAATAACTAATTTTAAAATATAATAAGCACCAATTGGTCTCAGTAGTCCTAGAAGAACGGCTTGCCATCTCTAATCTCACATTCTTTCCCCACTGTCCCAAGACCACCAAACTCCACTTTGGCAGGTGTTAGGGAGCATGGTTTATACGGGGAGGGAGGTGGGTGGGCTTCGGCATAAACCCCCTGGGGAGGCATCAAAATTCACTAATGGAAGGAATGTTGGTGAGTAGCAAGGCACCCCCAGAAGCTGCAGGTTTCCTTATGATTGTGTGTGGCCTGTAGGTTGCCACATGCGTGCTAGTCCATGGCAACCTTTGGTAACACACCGGGTAACCTACCACCAGTTCAAGCTGGAATTCTGCAATTTGGAATTCAAACTAGAATCCTGACCTTCCAGAGCCAGAAAAATATTATACAGTGGTATACGAAAGCTTAAAGTACTTTCACATTAAAAGTAACACAGCCCAAACCAAACCAAATCTTGATTGCTGCAACCAGCATAGTCACTAAATTGCTGGAAATGCCATTTTTTTTTAAAGCAGTAATAGAAGTGGCAAAATATTAAAGCCTGTGCATTATGGAAGAAGCAGGCTCTTCAAATGTCTCTGTGGTTTGTATAATTTCTAAAAGTGGAGATGTGAACTGCTTTGATGGAGAGATAATGTAAATGGAAGCAGCATATGTTTCAGTTAAACTGAAGGACTGGTGCCAGGGAAGGGTAAAGTATTTATCTAAACTAAATGTCAAAGTAGTTATTTTTAAATGCAATTTAATTTGATTTTTATTTTTTTACTGAAGCCAAAAGGGCACCTCAACTATTTTTACTCTTACCTATTATGCTGTTCCATGAATAAATCATCTCTGCAGGGTGCTAGAAGAAGATGCTTTTAGTTCAAAATGAAGCACAAAGGTTATTATTTTGAGCTCTTTGTCTTGAAAATGGTTGGAGAAAGAAAGAAAAGCCTTTCTCCAATCACAGGATTGTCAGGTAGAAGAAATGTTTGTTCATGTGGCTTTAGTGGCATTTTTGGTATTTTAAGTCTCCCACTAGCAAGGGCTGTGTCTCCCAGACTTCTGATGGCTTAAGGGACATTTCTTTTTGCAATTAACACAGAAGGCCCATGTACACTCAAAAATGTCTACTAGGGAATCAATTCCTGATCTTTTTGCAGGAATCATTCTTGCCTTCTGAGAGGACTCATGCAGTGTACAGTATGGTGGCCTGCAGCAGGCAGAGTTTTGGACTAGGGAGACCTAGGTTCAAATCCCCACTCAGCTATAAAGTTCACTGAGTCACCCTGGGCCAGTCACAGTCTTGCAGACTAACTGCACTCACTGCGTTATGTTAAGGATTCAGCGAGGGAGAGAACTTGCCCTGAACTTGTTGGAGCAAGGATAAAATTAAGGTGTAATGAGCCAGTGTGGTGTAGTGGTTAAGAGTGGTAGTCTCGTAATCTGGGGAACCGGGTTCGCGTCTCCGCTCCTCCACATTGCAGCTGCTGGGTGACCTTGGGCCAGTCACACTTCTTTGAAGTCTCTCAGCCCCACTCACCTCACAGAGTGTTTGTTGTGGGGGAGGAAGGGAAAGGAGAATGTTAGCTGCTTTGAGACTCCTGAAGGGGAGTGAAAGGCGGGATATCAAATCCAAACAGATATGAATCTCACTGGCTGGCTGGCTGCGGCAAGCTACAATCTCCCATTCTTAAGCTACCTCACAAAACATAAAAAGTCTAGCCTATGAGAAGATACCTATGGGACGTCTGCAAGCAGGACCTGAGCACAACATCATTCTGCTGGAACTTGCAGTTCCCAGAAACTGACATTCAGAGGCACACTACCTCTGACACTGGAGGTAGAACTTAACCATCATGGGCCATTGATAGCAGCCTTTTCCTTTATGTATCTGTCTATAACCCTTTTTAAAAGGCATCTTATGACAGCAAATTCCAAACTTTAACTATGTGCTTTGTGTGAAATGTTGTGGGGATAAAGGGGGGGTTTAAAAAGACAATACACATATTTCAGGCTCTTTGGATGATTTAAATACATATGCAATTAATACATAAAAATAGTGAAAAATTAAGTGACTCATGTACATGCCACTAGCATATATAATGAAGATTTGCAATGTTCTTCCAACAGTAAGCAATGCTGTGTCCAGAATAAGATAATCCGTTAATCAGTTATGTAACTGCTGGTTATACCTTATTCCAAGCATTAAAATATGGGATCTGCTTCGCATTTGGCATATAGTTTGGTTCATGTCTGATCATACTTGACATAAAAACTGTGGTATTTATGATATCTCTTCTATGCCAACTAAATGATGCTGTCTACCAAATGCACACAAAACTGTACTGCAGAAAAACAAAAATTAGCAAATTGAAGAAACAGCCATCAAGCTTAATGGGTTTTCTGCATGGTTTTAAGTGCTGAAGAAATTGCCTATTTCTGCCATATAACTGTCATTTATTTATAAAGTCTGAGACCCAAATCTCATTCCAAAATGTTCAATTCCTGCATTTCTTATGAATTAAATGCAGTCTATTGTACCATAAATCCGCAATGGCGAACAAAGGCTACTTTGTTGCTGTTGTTGTTTAGAGAGTATACTTTTAAAACACCAGTGTAGCCACACAATGAGTATTATAGAGAACTCCTTGCAGAACATTACAAGACTATGACATATACCAAATATGGCAAAGGTAATACAAGGACCTTTCTTTAATATACTGCCATATTGGCACACTGCAGCTGCAAAAACACTGAATAAAAGGCAAGTCTCATGAATATAACAAAAAAGTTATAAAACAGAATCAGATATAGCAGTTATAAAAACACAAAAAGAGAGTGTTTTTGGCATGATGGGCCCAAACTCACAAATCACATTTAAAAATTACTATATTGTGTGGTTTCTACAAATTTGCAGGCAGTGCCGGGTATTTGATGCTACTAATAAATAAATTGAGCCTCCATGTTTAGTGGCAGTATAGCTCAGATATCAATAGTTATTTATACATTTGCATATATTGTTTATTCGATTTTGCAAATCGGCACCATATTTTCTGCTTTTTGTTGGTGCTGCATTCTGCTTGAGCGGGGCAATTCTTGACTTGAATGTCCACTAAGTCTTCCATGACAGTAATGGAAGTCAAGCTTGTTTATCCACTATTAGAGATCTTCTACTTGAAGGTAGCTGCAATAAGCTTTCAGAGGGTTCTCCTTGAACAGATTTTTAAATCCTCTGCCCCTCATGGGCGTAGCCAGGATTTTTGTTAGGAGGGGCAAGACCTGGGGGGGGGGGAGAGAACCGATGTGATTGATCAGTTAGTTAAGTATTTCTATTGTTTTACTTGATCTAGGGGGGCAGCTGCCCCCCCCCCCGCTACACCCATGGTGCCCCTGCAAAACAGAAGCCCATGTTGTAATATTGTTCCCTGGGATTCCCAGATACAGTGGATGTGCAAATCTTGTCCTTTCTTCCAATAACTTACTGTAAAAATCTTGTTTGGGTGGAAATTCAAATACAAATAGCTTAACAGCACAAGGACCAGGATTACCATTACTATGCTTGCTGTATTACTGGGTGGGATAAACTGTACAGGGTCAGGGGAGGAAGAGTGCTTACATGAATCTCTCTGACCACTTGCATGAATGTAGGAAGAGAAGGAATATAGCAAATGGGTCAAAGGGATACGGTACTCCACTGCATTTTAAAAGAGAAAGGTGTTTTTCTCCCTAAGCAAGTTGTAGATCAAGGATATTATATATATATATATATATATATATATATATATATATATATATATATATATATAATGGATTCTTTTATTTATATATAGCAGCAACAGAGTATTTGAGAGGATGCGTCCTGAATATTAATCCAAGTGTTTGAATTTTAAAGATTTATGTCAAGAGACAAAAACAGTGTCAATTACCTCAGCATTTGGGCTAATAGAGGGGCCATATGTGTTTGTGCAGATTTCTTTGCAGAAGAGGGTTTTAACATATTGGTTCAATGTGCAGGTGTGGTGGGTCACTTATATTTGTCTCCAGTTGGATTAACTCATGCACTGTAAATAATTCAGCTTGACAAGATTTTCCTTTCAGTTTGCCTTATTACTAACCTCTTTTCTTCTCCCCCCCCCTCGTTTTTCTTCTTCTTCTTTTTTTACAACAGCCCCCTCGCTTACATCACCCGTGTAGTAGGATTTAAATAGCTATACATGCCATGTTTCTCCTGGAAACAAAACACACGATTGGCCAGTCCGGCAGCCAGCCTCTGCCTACCAACAGGGATAAGCCCGACCTCGCCAGCCAATAGCGGCAGGGCTCGTGCCGCGGCGAGAAGCCAATGAAACGTCTGTCACTAAGGGAGGGAAATACATAGAGGCATGAAAGGTCTGTCATGTGTGTTATAATATTCTCATGCCATGTCAGTGATTTTATTTTCGCTCTGATCTTAATGTACTTTAAATCGTAGATTAAAGAGATAAGTGGTTGATCCTTTGCTCGGGGTTCTAATTCGGTATCCAGAGAACGGAGCTCACTAGGAATGCGATGTGTAGTACTATCAGGTTGTAAAGGGGAGGGGGAAGGTGGAGGAGATTTGCAGGAGTGTGCAGTAATGTAAGTACAGTTTTTCTCCCTTGCTTTCTGGTGTGTGTGTGTGTCCCCCCCCCTTTTAAGGATCCCCGGGGCAGTGAAATGTACCATAAATCTCATGCCGAATGTAGCTCCTCTTGTGCTGTCTCTTCCCTACCCTCCTTATTCCATTTTAATTTTCTTGGAAGGGCTTGGAAAAGCAAAACAAAACCATCTTAAGATGGCTTGTGCGTCCAGCAGACGGCTGAGATTTAATAGTATCCCAGAATGAATGTTATGCAAAGAAGAAGAAGAAGCAAAAAAAGAAAAGAAAGGGTAAATACATTGTTTACATGGATACCTGTGCCTGTGTGTGTTTCTTTGTGTGTTGGGAAAATAAAGTGGAGCCGGGGATTGAGAGCAAGGAGGAAAAGAGGGGTTAGATATACTGTTAATGTCCTATCAAATCTTTGGTGTGTTTTTTTACAAAATAAGTAAAGGGGAAAGGGTACCTGGCTTGCTCGGAGATGTTGAAAGACTTGCAGGCTGCTGCTATTGCTGCTTGCAAATCCCTGACAGGGTTTCTATACATAAGAGAAGCTTCAGGAAAAGCCAGTGTGGAGCAATTTTTTAAAAATCCAGAATAGTAAGCAGTGCTTTCTGGGTTCCAGTTTGGCACAGCCAAAATGAATGTACCTGTCCATTGAGCCAAAGCAGATAAATAAGCCTCTTTTACAAAATTTTCATCCAAACCTAACATAGGTGGACCATTTTAGAGAAAGCAGAAAAGAAGAAACTGGGAGGATGATTTAGAGCTTATAAATGAAAAGTGCATGTATATAGCACTGCAAGCAAACTAGTCGAGTATGTAACGGCAGAGAGAAGCTTATGTTTACTTCTGTTTTATTGTCTTTTATTGGCTTCCTTTCATCAATTCTGGGCCTCTCCTCAAAACAAGACAGAATAAATGTTTCCCAAACAGAATGTTAAATATATTTAAAACCTGAACAGTGTAATATGACTAGATAACCACTAACAGCGGGCTGTTTGGTTGCCACACACAACTTTCAGAATTAAGTGAACGTGGTAAAGCTGTGGTACTCATGTGGGGCTTTGAGACTGTTGCATTATGTGATAATAGTTGACTGACTGAGTGATGTGGAAGAGGTATGCTTTTCTAGACTGAGAGACAAACCCCTTAAAAAGCAGGGGCAGAGCAACAGCAGTGAGGCAATCTAGCTTGCTTCATTTGATGACCAAGACATGTTTCCAGATGTGAAAGAAAGTGGCATTTGCCAGCAAAAGATAAAATTACTGCTTAAAAACCTTTCTGTTTAATTATCATTTTCCACTTAAATTTTATTTTTCTTGAAGTGTTTTTCTAAATTGAACGTTGAATCCAAGATACCCCTAAATATGTTTTTCCCCTAGGATGTTTTAACAAGGAAACAGGTAGTTGGAATCCTTCCTAGTTTCAACTCGGGATAATGACTCTCAGATTACAAATCTGCTTGGTAATGAAGCGGAACAAAACCAATGTGGAACATCAGAAACCCAGAATCTCATAGAACAGCCAGACCGTTCAGAGGTCTGGTTAGAAATAAGATATTTTTCATTATTCTTCCTCCTCCTCCTCCTCTTACTGTGAATGGCAATGGTGGCCCTCTAATCTTTTGATTCCACAGAGGGCTGAATCAAGGTCATAGGGTTATACTTACAGCAGCTCACCATAAACCCAGCTCTGGATAATGCTCTCACTTCCTCATTAATAAATTTTCTAAATAAAACAAACATTAAAACAAATCAACTGACGGCAGTAATGATGTTTCTAGGATTTCTGGGTCAACATAAGTGCTAGAAACATTAACACAAAACTTATGGTCCAATGCAGAAACTTGTATGTTTTAGATTTAGGGCTTCATATGGAAATATAAAAAGACAGTCACACTACACTCCTAACCACATTTCTGAAGGGACAGTCCTCACATTTTTCTAATCGATGTTGTTGCTTTTTCATACTGAAAGCATTGCAGCCACTGGCAACGTTTACTACCTTGGACAACTGGTCAGAGTTGTGGCCTCTTGCACTTTGCTGGGTAGTCCACTTCTAGATGATCCTCATTATATCTATCTTTCACCTGTGCTTATTGCACTCTTATACCAGCGATTTTGGAAAGAGAAGCAGCAGCAGCACAATGAAGCGCGGGGCCGGCCTAATTACTTCCGATACATATTTTATTTGAACAAAGGCACCAGATGGGTAATAATACATTAACATTAAACAACATATAATATAACTGAAGCCAATGCAGTGGATGAATCATAATAAAAACTAAATCCTACCTAGCCTAACTTCTGCCACCAAAAGCCAGCCTAAATAATATTAAAAAGTCTTTAAATGTTTCCTAGTGCTTTTATCACATTTGGTGAGATATCAGTGTAATAAACCTAACTTAACCTAACCTTGCAAGAAATGACTTTCAAGTTCTAACATTGCGGTAGAGAAGACCTCACAACATGCTCTTGATGAGTCTGGGAGATGACAATGTGGAAGAAGCAGTCATGTATTTAGGATCCAATTCAGTAAGTGGAGCAGAGATGGGGAATGCATGGGAAGTCTTAAGGACCTAAACAGGAGGTGGGCTAACACGATGTGTTTAAGGACATACTTGGGCAGCTATTTGTAAATACACTTCTAGTGTCGATTTCTTGCCTGAGGCAAATCGATCCATTCTGTCCCATGTCATATAAACCGATCTAAAAAGTACAACTACTTATAATAATTTCTGCCTCAAGCATTTGGGTGCAGATGGTATGTTGGGATTAATTTTTTTTAAATAGTGCCACAAGATCATAAACATATTGGGTCAGGTTGTACATATCCCCAATGAATGACAATTCAGCTGCACAGACCTTGAATGGCGGTCAAAATTAAGATGAGTCAAAGACTCTTCCAAATAAACACATTCTGCATTTTCCCGTCCCAACGTTCTGTGGAAAAGCTGTGCTGTCTGGCTAGCTGGCCTTCCATTCTAAGAAACTGCCATTTTTCTATATTTAATCATAGGCATAAGTGAACCACAGGCTATTTTTTTTCCCTGTTTTCCTGGAGAGAAGTTTTTTATATTTAATTTTCTATTATTTTTGGGTAGCATTGGATTAAAGCTCTTGACTTTTTAATTAAAGATCAGAGGCACTGAAGGGCTGTTTTTTTTTGAATCGTGTACTTTGCAAGATGAAACATGAAGTGCACGTTCACTTCATTCATCTTTCTCCACTAGTCAACAAATGCAAATTTAAAAATTCCCACAAAAGCAATGGGACGATTCTCCTCTCTCATGTGCTACAAATAGGCATTAATTATCAACATACACTGAGCCCAAACCACACTTGGTGGCAATCAGTGATGTCACTAGGGCCCTTTCTGCACTGTACATTACTGTGTGGATGTGCATGCATGCAATGTTGAATACCGCACAACGGTATTCTTTCTGATATTATGCCTTTCAGGGAATGAGATTTTTTTGTCGAACTTAGTTATACCACTTTTTCTGGGACAATGGCCTCTCCTAGGAAATGAGTTAGTGAAGCTTGAATTTCCATTCTTCTTAGTTGTCCTACCCTTTTCTCCATAAAATGTGTAACTACCTTGAATTTTGGCACAAGTAGAGTGTGCATTATAAACATTAAATGAGGCATGATCCCCACATCTGCAAGCAACAGTCAATACTTTCTGTGTTTTCTGTATTGTTATTTATAATTGTGGGGACTGTTGTCTAAATTTGGATATTGGAAGATAGGATAAGCAAGAAACAGAAATCCAAGGAAGTGGAAATGTGGAAACAATTGTAATGCGCCATGATATCCAACCAATATGATTCTTGCACAACAAAGGCACATTCTGGTGGCTTTAATCTATTGGACCTGGTATGCTAACTCAGTACTTTGTTATACTTCTGTCTAAATGCGCAGGGTTCCCCAAAGCAAACTATTTGCTTTACATTTTTATACCACCTTTCTGCTCCAAAACAGCTAAAGCATTTTTTAAAAGTAAAACACGAAGAGTATAAAAACAAAATAGGAATAAAACAAGGACAAACAACACCAAAAAATGGATAGAAGTTGTCTTTAGCAATTAAACTGTTGAATTTAAAAGCCTGTCAAAAGAAAACCTCTGTGATATCTGAGAGAGATACAGAGATCCAACTAGGAAGTTGATTCCAAAACTGTAGTGACACCACTGACAAGGCACTGTCTGAACACTTACGCTCAGACACCATATTGAGTGTGTGTTCAACCTGGAGGAGAGGGGAAAGAACGTACAAGCAGAAAATGTGAAAATGACGGACATGGCTATAGTGCCCTTGGAACACCACCACAGCAAATAACAAGCAATATACTGAACACACAGTGTGTGAGGGATTGAAAGAGAAGAGGGAGTAATGCTACCTGAGTGCTCTGCCACCGTTAGCTGTACACCTTGTGGAGGAAGAGAGACTACACTGACTGTGAGTATACATACTCCTTCCCCTTTGGGGGTTGTTGTGGAATTCTTGCGAGAATGGGGACAGCTTTTTCTGCCCCGTTCATCCATCTGTGAGAATGCAAGGTAAAAATGCTCATGAGTGTTGGCTAGTACAGTAGTGGCAACAGTTGGAGTACCTGCTCTTTGACGGCAGAGAGCTTGCATGGCTGCGGGATAAGGGCCTTGCCTGTGTGCGCGCGATCCTGCTCCTAATTGCTGCAAAGTAGGAGCAGTATAGTTCAGACGATACCCATATTCCCATAGGGACTCGGGAGGCATGGGAGCGGGAGTACCCTGTGTGGGTGCTCTGTCCTGGCATCCCTGGGTATTGGAGTGGAGTAGAGTTTGGTGTTGGATATTTGTGTCTGGAATTCTAGAGAAGCGTTAGCGATGTGCTCCAATTCCCAGATGTGTTGCGAGCTCAGGGTGTAAAGTGCTCTTTCTCCATAGTTTCCTGCTACCAGAATTCCCCCTTATGAGCATAAAATGTGTGTGATGGAAAAAAAATATGCACCTGATCTAGGGATGGTGTAAAGTTGCACCATTGACCGGGGTGTGCGTAGTCTGGGAGAGTCTAGAATGTAGCATAAACGTGTTCTTCCTCTGTTCCGGCCATGTCGAAACCACAACTCCACTTGGTTTTGGCCATTCCACCAACGTATCTGCACAATTGTGCCGATGTATCTCCCACGGCAGCAGCATATCTGGTGTTCTGCCAGCATATAGAGCTCCCATCAAATCTTTTATTTCCTCGTCCAGTAAATCTTTAGTATGGGAATGTGCCCTTAAAGACTGGGCATTAGATGGGCATTAGATGGAAAGTGGTACACTTCAAGTGGTAGCCCATATGGATAAATTACATTGTTGTGGCACACAACTGTAACAATGAAAAGCTGCAGAATGGAATAATGTTGCCTCTTAAAATAGAGGAGTTTACACCAATGGGAGGCCACTGCAATTCTGCACCAAGACTGATTTTCAGATGGCAAAGCAGGTGACGCAGATCAGATGCATGTTACTGACACTGCAAACCAGTCTTGCTGCGTGTGAAAATATTAGGGCAGATGAGCACTGTAATTTTTTCTCTTTATTTTCAGAAACGCTTCCAGTAATTTTAGCCAGTTTAAAAAAAACATCCCCCATTCAGACAGATCCCAATCTTACGTCAGTAAAGGTCTCTACCTCTGGTAGGATTTTTTTAAAAAAAGATCATGAACATTTGTCGAAGCAAGTATCAGGCTTCTCTTTCATAGTGTAAAGAGCTGAAACAAAAAAGTACCTCATTCATTTTTTTTTCTAGTCAAAGACATATTAATTTAATTATGCTGGACCTTAAATGCCGGGCATAAACATAGGCTAAGAGGAAGAAATAGTTGTGATTATGTAACAGCTAATGGCGCCCTATTAGAACAACGAGTATTCCATGATAAGAGATCCCCTTTCCCCTTTACCCATCTTACAGAATTCTTACAAGACTAATTACTTTTCTTGCAGCTCTTCAGTGAAACTTTGTAATCCATACATTTATTGGCTATAGAAGGACATTTTCTTCTCTGCAATAATAAAATAAAATTTAGTCTTAGCTAGAGATACAGGCATCCCGACTTCAGGAATCCCAAGTCTTGATACCAGTGATATACACGTACATATTATGTATTATAATCAAGTCTGTGATTGCATTCCCTCTTAAATGTCTCTGATCATTCTCTATATCGATTCATAGACCACCAGTTGTCGTTTTGGTGATGCAACTAACTTCTTTTCTAGCTATTGTTGGATTTTTAGCTAAATTCTCCATACAGTAGTTTTCTTTTGTAACTGAACAAATGAAACATTAGGCCCTCAATGAATTATATAATACATTTGAGATCTGGACTTTATGGAGAAAACATGCTGTTGTCCCGTCTCCGTCCCCCACTCACATGATATAAAAGATCCCCCCAGAACTTATTTATGGTGCAATTCACCCTTGCAACATTTTTCATGGGAGAACACATCTGTGCAATTAATAGTTCCAATGAACATAGAGAGATAAACTGAACATTAAGCTAAGATGTGTTATTTATGGGTTGCTAATTTGGTTACACATTTTACTGTGCTGGACTGCTGGTTAGATGTTTGTCTGATGAATAATGTGATATTTGAAGGCTTTAAAACTCTTGGTCCCGTAATAGGCATTATCATGTCTAGTTGATGACAATCGGATGTTAGCATAGAAGTGCAAATGTTACTACAGGATACTTACACTTTATTTATCTTGAGACACCTGAACTCTCTTACATATACTAACACAGGGGTAGGCAAACTAAGGCCCGGGGGCAGGATGTGGCCCAATTGCCTTCTAAATCCGGCCTGTGGACAGTCCGGGAATCAGCGTGTTTTTACATGAGTAGAATGTGTCCTTTTAAAATGCATCTCTAGGTTATTTGTGGGGCCTGCCTGGTGTTTTTACATGAGTAGAATGTGTGCTTTTATTTAAAATGCATCTCTGGGTTATTTGTGGGGCATAGAAATTTGTGCATTTCCCCCCCAAAAATATAGTCCGGCCCACCACATGGTCTGAGGGACGGTGAACAGCTGAAAAAGGTTGCTGACCCCTGTACTAACAGATTTATCACCTGCATAGTAACACTTGTTCTTTATATTTCTTTGTAATATAGTTATATAGTAATATAGTAAAATAGTTGTAAACTATTAGCAGAATTCTATACAACTTAAAAAGTTGCCTTGCAAATTCTATGATCCGGCGTTTTCACATTTCATAAAAAAGGAGGAAATTGCCTCTATTCTTTCATTAAAATATGAAATTGACATAAAAAAAATAAACAGCAGTTCGAAAGATTACTTAATATTTCCTTTTAAAATTCTCCTTGCAAGACAATCACTCATTGATAAATCATATAACTATGTTCTTGGTCATCACTTTCCAAATTTTATATAGCACCCTTGCCCTTCCCCACCCCCCGCTTTTCTGCTTGAATTATCCTTCAGGATGAAGGCTCTAAAGTTGGCTTTCTAATTATATAACATGGGAATGACATAAGGCCAAATTCTACTTGTGCTCTCCACCCACCCTATATGTCTCCCACGTATCCATTCTCTTTCTACATTAAATAGAAAAGTATTTCATAAAAGCACATTATTGCAGAGCATAATTTTGCATTCATTTTTAGGTTCTTTTGTAAGTACTACAGTGGGTTTTTACCCCTTATTTCATCCAGTATTTGAGGGGACGTTTAAAATATCTTGTCCCTTTCCAGAAAATTGTGGACTCTTACTGTATTATGTATTGATTTTGGTTTGGACTATGACAAATGTATTCTATATTTTGTGGAAGTGTTGGCAGTTGTTTTACCAAGGGTTTTACCAAGAAGGCCATTTGCTGTATAGATTAGAAAACAAATAAGAATTATAATGCTCAAGGATGTGGGTTTTCATACTTTTGGCCACTTCTCCTCTAAAGTTAATACTGTACTTTACAAAGTAAAATAATCTTTAAAGTAAATCCTGCTTTCCAAAGTGTCAAGATGGTGGGCCAGATCCAAACAAAAATATATGAATTGGGTGGAATTGTTTCAAAATATGTCTGCTGAACGTGTTGTAATTGGGAAATGTTGTTCAAATTATTACTAAAATGTATTGCAGCAACCACGAATTGAGTGGAGGAAAAAACTAACACAAACGGATACTGCTGTACTCCTTTTTTGGACAGTCGTTTAACACACAACGTCCAAATCCTGCAGCACAGATCATTTACTTACAACCTTGTGCAGGTTATAGCATAAAATAAATTTTAAATAATTTGATATAAATAAGGAAGGATATATACATCACACAAAGACGCCAATTGTTCTAGGTACCACGTTTCGAAAAAAGGGTAAACTAGGAAACCCAGAAAGCAGGACATTTTAAAACGGGCCTTTTCAATACACCAATGGCTAAGACTATTTAAAAACAAAATTAAATAGTCATTCGGCAATCTTAGAACTTTATAAAAGCTGCACTTCTTTTAATTCCCTCTCCCCCCTCCCCAGTAATTCCGAGTCAGATGCCATCAGCAACATTTACTCTTAAGTAAGAGAGTTGAAAATGTTACCGTTAACTCTTTTTCAATGCATCAAGCTTAATGCATCCTTTTTTAAAAAAGAGCAACACAAAACCAAATACACTATCAAAGCATTTATAGCAACTTTTGCTATGTGATTTTATTTTTCAGAAATTATCCAGTAGCGTCCATGTTAATACATGTAGCATAGACCAGGTCATTAGCTGCACAGTAAAAATAAAAAGGATTTCTATTTACCTTTTAACTGTTCCAAGATCTATCCAAGTGATTTAGAAAATGTTGACCTGCAAAATATAAGAGTAATAATCTAAAATGTTCTATATCTGGAATTGTAATTTCTATTTCCATTTTCAAGGTGTGTGCTGATGAGACTGATTATGTGATACTTGAGTCTTACATAACCAAGACTTGCATTACAAGCGTTTCATCCCATCCTTACCCCAAGATTTAATGAAAAACAAAATAAAGGAATGTAGCTGTTTATCTTTAATAAACCTTGTTGCGATACATTGGACACATATCAGATTTAATGGAAATACAATGCATGACTAAAATTATGGTTATGTAAGTGATAAATAGGCAACAATATAGACAAATAGGTATGCTATAAAGTAATATTGTATCGATTTTTACAACACTCTTTTTTATCAGAATAACAGGTTGTCTACTATCAATGGTCTGCCTAGATAATGAAACTAAAACATTGCTTTGCTTCTTAAAATGAACATACCACATTTCTTTTTAACCCTTTTGCTTTTCTACCCATCTTGCAGGTAGAAATAATCTCCTAAAGGGTTTAGTTTTTTTATGGATAGAAGAGCAGAATGCATATAAAACAATACTACGCAACTACATTCATATTAGGATTGTGTCATCCTATTATAACAATTTTAAGTTGAATTTATCGTAGTATATATAAAGGGCCTGTTACCCAAAAAAGAGCCTATTTGCGAAGCCTAACTTACACCTATAGGTGGCAGTCTGCTTTCACTAAAAAGATGCTGGACTTCTCATTCACAGTGTTCAGAACTTGTGCATGGAAATTATACTGGTGATGTGCATGCATGTACGTGCTTGGAGAGAAGGGGATCAAGGAGGATCTATGCTCATTAAACATACAAGAGAGAAACTTGTGTAGCATTGTAACCCATTTACAGTTTCCAGAAACGAGTGAAGATTAAATGTGACTTCAGAAGGGTTGTTGTGAGTCTTGGTTTAATTTATTCACTGATCGGGACTGAATTAATTAAAAACATTATAGATGGAAATAGCCCAGTAGTTCTGCAAAACACATTTTCAGCACCAGAAACTAATGCGTCAGTTTAGTTTTTATATTGGAACTACTGGGACTTCCATGATCCAAACCTCATTTCTGTTATCCAAACCTTCTATTATCTGGTTATCAGCATTTCTGGCAGTAATGTCCTAAAAGGCCAATACCATACCCAAATTAGGGCTACTGCACAAGCCCAGCATTTCATCCATCTTGTCTTAATCTTTCACTTGCTGAAGCAGCAAATCAAAAGACCCTGCCCTTTTTCTTGTCCCAGTTCACAGTGGCCAAGATAAGCTGAGATTTCACATAAGGAAGAAAAGGCAGCCCTGTATCAGGAGGTTGTTCATGTTTGATGTTTTATTATGTTTTCATATGCGTTACAAGCTGCCCAGAGTGGCTGGGGCAACCCAGCAAGATGGGCAGGGTATAAATAATAATAAAAGTATTATTATTTGCTATTATTATTATAGTTCTATAATATTCTGACGCCAGTTTGCGGGGAAAGCCTGTGTTTGAATTATTGTCTAAGAATACCTCACAAATGGTGACGATTTTGCCCATTCTCATTTACCATATTTTTCGCTCTATAAGACTCACTTTTCCCCCTCCAAAAATTAAGGGGAAATGTGTGTGCGTCTTATGGAGCGAAAAATATGGTAAATGAGAATGGGCAAAATTGTGGGAGCACTCCTGCCGCGCTCCGGAGGCTTTGCGTTGCTTTCGCTGAAGCCTGGAGAGCGAGAGGGGTCGGTGCGTACCGATCCCTCTCGGTCTCCTGGCTTTGCTTCGCTTTCCCTCTCTGTGCAGCGCCCCTTCAGCCAAGCGGGAGGAGAAATGGAAGGGGCTTCGTTTCTCCTGCCGCTTCGCTGAAGGGGTGCTGCGCAGAGGGAGAGATTTTTTTTCCTTGTTCTCCCCCTCTAAAACAAGGTGCATCCTATGGTCGGGTGCGTCCTATAGAGCGAAAAATACGGTGATTATACAACCAATGCAAGAAACTATCCTATGCTGAGTTGGCTCAATGCTCCATCTACCTCCGCATTGTCTGCACTGACCAACAGAAGTGCACCAGAGTTTCAGGCAAATGCTCTACCAATGAGCTACAGTTCTTACCCCATAAGCTGCGGCCTGGTTTATGCACTCACCTGACCTGTGCTCCATTTTATGAGCTGGAAGAGCAGTTTCTCTCTTCCATCATGCATATAATGTAACAAGGGAGGCAGGTGCTGCATTCACAGATCTGTACTTTGATGGCACGGTTTTTGCTTTATTAGCCACCCTGTTTTTATAAAGGAAGAGCTATTAAAACTGTTATTCAGACGCATGAGTCTTCTGCTTCACGTAGGCCGTGAATAGTATAAGAAAGGCCAGGAAGGGTGACCCTCTGTGCTGCCTCCTTAACTGGAGTGCTAGTTCAATGGGTGTATAAATGGCAACGTTTGGATAAGTGTGCTAGGGCTGGCACTATCATTATTACTGCTGCTGTTTAGCATTTGTTTAGTAGAATCAGTGCACCATTGCACTGTCTGTTAAGAAGACTTTTATAGATAGGACAGAGGGAAACGGAAAGGGCAGGACTTGATAAGCAAAAGTAGAAAGGATAAAATAGTGATGACTGCAGGCAAAAGAATAGCATCATCTCCAGACTATCTGTATTTCAAGGGAGGGATTCAAGTGAACACGAAATCTAGGTTTGCACAGCTAAAGTAGGTGAAAGAGCTCTGTCGCATCAAATTCACTTTAAAAAAACTTGGTTTTTGCAGTTAAGAAAGTGATGGGGAAATGAAACTACAAAGTGTGGGGTGAATGAATGATTAGCAGGAAGATGCACAAGCAAATTGGGATGTATTCAGGATGAATGCTCATTGTCATAGAACCTCCTTGCAAACAAACAGAACAAATTCTCAATAAAGACCAGACAGAATTTAACCTCCATGTAAGCTTTGTGTAAGCAAATGTGGGTGAATGCTCAATAAACAGGATGTCTGGAGGAGCCCTGAGGACAGAGTGTGCTAGTAAAATATCTGTAGAAAAGTTGGGTTTTGCAGACAGATTCGAAGGAGGGAAGAGAAGTGACTTAATAGACAGTGGTGGGAAGATATTTAGGATTAGTGCATTAATTAAAAACTGGGATATAAACTTAAATATGAAATCAATTATTTATTTATTTTAATTGTTTGTAAATTATTTAGTCTCGTTGTTCAACTGACTATGCTTTTACCTTTAAAATGTCAAGGATTCTGTATGATGTAGACTATTTCCGTGTTAATATTCCTAGCACCCTTGAACAACATTAGCTGAACAAATATTGCAGTGATGATACCCTGGAGTAGTTCCCTAAGTCCCATTACAGTTGGATAGAAATAAAACCTGTTTAGGACCAACATTTCCTATATATAAGATACACCTTGAAAATAAGATTCCACCATCCCCAGATCCGAAGGTTTCTGTAGCAAAATGGCACACGGTAAAAATGAGGCTTTTGACAATTGCAGTGTGATAAAGTGGAGCAGGATCCATATGTACTCCGTTTTGCTGGAGTTCATGAGGCTTTCACGGGGAATTCCTTTTGCAGTATAGATGCAATTGATAGAGCCACAAAAATTAGATATGGAGGAGAATTCAATACTCTTGAAATAGTATATGTCTCCTGTTATGGCCACAGAGGCCTTAGCGAAAAATGTAAATCTTAAAATTCACTTAAAAGTCTGGATAAATCATTCCACTTCTCACTACTTCTCAATCACTTAACTGAAGGCCGAAAGAAAGCAGAACATTTAGACTGCTGCTCCGAGCCAGACAGTTGTTTCGGTACAACTGAACCATGGATAAACCAGATATAAAGGGCAGACCTTTTACATTAAAAGTAAATAGATTGGAAGGTGGACGGTTAACTATATTCTTGCTCATCAGCCTGACTTCTAAAACCTCTGAATACAAACAGAATAATTAAATATTTTAGGATTTTCTTGATTCATAAAGCAGCCCTCCTCAATTCTTAGATTAATTTGTACAGTCTATACTATATACAAGTGAGGAGATACCAATTCATAATGTGATGGATGCAATCTAAATGCAATATATGCTGCTTGACACAAGTTTCCATTGCTTCAAAGACATTTTTGCCGGGATTGTTTTATAGAGTGTAAAGGTGCACCATAAAACATCTGATGCTTTCTAAAAACAAGTCCTCTAGCTCTCTTGACTGTTTTATTCACCTTTGGTTGCAATTTTAAACACGCAGTGCAACTGTATGAATGTTTACTTGGAAGTAGACAACACTATTTTCAGTAAGGCTTACTCCCAGGTAGTTGTGGATAAGATTTTTCCCAGTTTCTACGGAACTCAATGGGATATATGTCAGAATAAATACAGATATATTTGGGGCATAAGTAATAGTATACAATAATTAATTAAACACATATTAAAAGATTATGTGCCTGCTCCCAAGGTTACAGTCTAAATAAATCAATACCGGCAAATTCTGAAGTAACAGATTTTGCTGCACTAAATACAGCTAAATACGATGGAGCAAGTACTGTTTGTAAACCACTGCTGAATTTAACAGTGGTAGGAAATATTAGTAGCGCTGATATACTGTACAGGAGTAAGGCTACAGAGTCCCAAAATGCATGTGTTTGGTTTCATATGGTTTTTTGTTTTTTGTTTTTACATTTTACACCACCTTAGGTTGAATATCTGGAAGATGAATCTTATGTTCTTGAGGAGTTAGACTTCATATTGACGGGATTCAAGAGATGAATTCTGGATATTTGTAACGAAGAGGTGATTAAACGAGTCATCTTTTGCTATGATCACTTTTGCCATGTGCTTATTTCCCAATTCTTCAGAAATAAACAAACGTTTCGGACAGCTAAAAATTGATTTTGCTCTGCAGAATGCAGCAGCAAAATACGAAGCATCTTACTCGACAACATACTCCCCCTCCGATATGGCTAAAATAGACATCACTGCACTTCATCGTTATACAGTGCTGGTACGATCGCAGTGCAAGAGTATCCTGAGGTATCCATTGAAAGGTAGTTGATTCAGACTATGATTCTCTGCTTTTGAAATGAAAATGTATTAAATGTGTTCGGTCAAGCAATTACTTTGTTTTAATAGTTAATGTAAATAAATATATAGATCAGTTAATACTACGTCTCAAAGCAAATGATGTTTTGCAGTTATTTTACAAATATACTAGCTTCTCCTAAGTATACAATATAATGTCACTGTTTGGGAAATCAAACTTGTGTGACTCATGAGGTGTTCATAGGCTGTCACCGCTGCAAGGGCTACATCTCTGATTGCAACTGGAACAGAAATCCATCTGTTAAAGCTGTGATTAATTCATTGATCAACTGCCCATGCCAACTAATGGATTCATGCTTCACCCTGATTTGAGGATTCCTTTAAAAATCAGGTATTTTAAGATAGGTACTTATCGCTTCGCATCAGCATCATGATTAGCACCGGAAATGTGGAGCTTTCAAGTGAGCCCCCATATTTAACTGTGTGTTAATAGGATGGACACAATCCAAATATATTTCAAGTACAAGGAAATTCTGATTGCAAGGAAAAACAATGACTAATCTGATGCAAAAATGCCAGGTGCCATCCAAATCTATTAAATGTAAGTGCAGCTTTTCTATAATTTAAAATGCAATGTGGATTACACTCTTTAGTAATGACAAATTCCAGACAAAATAATGGAAGCAGATGAAATATGCTTACAGATAGGCTAAAATAAATTGAATAGTAATATTAGTTTAATTTATTGTTTTTAAGAATGCTCATAGTAGTTTCAGAAGTGGTGATAGCCATGTATTTTAGCAGCTGAGGATGAAGTTTTCATTGAACAACAATTTATTTAAAAAAATAAGTAAATAAAAAATAAATGATCATTCTCTGCAACTCTGGAAGTTTTGGCCAGCAAAAACAGGAAAATAATGCTTAAAAATAACTATTGATCTTATCTTTTTGAAGTGCTTTTAAACATTTTTTCTTACTGAAGTCTGCCCAAGCTGACTCAAACGTCATCAGATAAATATAGAAAAATCGCCTCCTTGCCCGCTAGAAAGTTGAAGCAAGGTCAGGTCTACATACATATCATGTAATTTAAGGTTGCCAGATGTCTCTTACTTAAAGGACTTTCCTTATTCCAGAACAGCACAGCTCCATAAATGCAATGATCATCCCTCCTTACTTTAAAATCTTCCAGCTCCATAGAACTTCACAGAGACTTCAGCTTGGCAGTCTGCTATGCTTTTGAAATTTTGATCTGGCAACCTAATTGCAGCAAAACTTCATCCAGCATGTGCGTATATTTCATTATTTCCCTGCCCTCAACTCCTACAGTGACAGTTTAGATAACTCCACACTTACATAAGCTTTCCCCCGACTACAGCTTCTGGTTGTTGCTATCAGGGTTGTTAAAAAAAAACCACTTACCATGAATTTTTTTTATAGCTTTTTTCTGTTTTGTTTACAGTAGTATTTATATTTGCAGCAAAGCATTTGGATCTATTTTGAAGTGTGCTAATTCATACAGTAGCAACCTCTAAATATAATGCTGTAATAAACGTTGTGCATTGTTGTTGAATTCAGTCCTTCTCTACATACTTGGCTGCAGCTGTCCTTCTGGTATATTACGGTTAAAAGAAAAGGTAAAAGGTAAAGGTACCCCTGCCCGTACGGGCCAGTCGTGTCCGACTCTAGGGTTGCGTGCTCATCTCGCTCTAGAGGCCGTGAGCCGGCGCCGTCCGAGGACACTTCCAGGTCACGTGGCCAGCGTGACGAAGCTGCAGCTGGCGAGCCAGCACCAGCGCAGCACACGGAAACGCCGTTTACCTTCCCGCTATAAAGCGGTACCTATTTATCTACTTGCACCCGGGGGTGCTTTCGAACTGCTAGGTGGGCAGGAGCTGGGACCGAACGACGGGAGCTCACCCCGCTGCGGGGATTCGAACCGCCGACCATACGATCGGCAACTCCTAGGCACTGAGGTTTTACCCACAGCGCCACCCGCGTCCCTTAAGGTTGCCGTTAATTAAAACACCCACCAAGATAACTAAGTTATAGTGCAGCAATGGGGAATCTGCAGACCTTCAGAAGTTGATAGACTGCAGTTCCCATAATCCCTGATCGTTGTCCATACCCTTCTAGTGTCCTGATTTTCCAGGGAGAATCCTGGAATTAAGAAAGCCATCCCGGCTTCTGATTTCATCTCGAACTGTCCCTATTTCCCCTGCTACTGCTGCTGCTGCTGAGCTTGAAGAAGAGGGTGAGCTGGGGCTTGTCCTGAGCAGAGGTGGTGGTGAGGGAGCACCCCATGGCCTCTCCAGGACTGCTGCCGCTGGCCTCCTCCCTTGGGCAGCTTGTAGCGGCTGCTGGAGAGCGGATGAGGAGGAGAAGAGGCTGTTGCCCAGCCCCACTGACTCCGAGAGGCAGGCAGAGGGCAGGCCCGCCCTTGGTGGGAACAAAGGAGTGGTAGAGCGGAGCGCAAGGAGTCTTGATTTTTTAATTAAAGAATGCTTTGTGCATCCGCATTCAATCCTCTTTTCTAAAATTTATTTCTTGGTGTATGTTTTTCTTTTTGTAACCCTACCAAAGAATAAAATAAAAGCAGGATTAAGGAGCTTTCTCAGGACAGTGGAGGGTGTGTGGGCTGTGTCCCATTGGTGATGGCACTCACCATTCTTCTGATAGGAAATGCTCTGCAGGGAGGGGAACAAAAAAAGGGGGGGTTGAGGAGGGTCTGTTGGGGAGGAGTAAGAAATGTCCTTATTTTCATCTGAGGAATGTTGGAGGGTTTGCATTGTCCATGCTGTTGGGAGTCAAACACCTGGAGAGCCACAGATTCCTCACTCCTGTCTTGTGGTGTCAGAAGGGCTGGAATGTAGCTGGAAGGATGGGCAAACTTACTTAGCAAAAGCCTAATTGCCCGTGTCTCCAAAGACCTTCTTTGGGTGCGCCTATGAATTTGGATACATAGAACAGAGCTTGGGAAATTCATTTTAAAAGGGGTTGTGTTGCGATATCCAAAAAGGAACAAATTCCAGATGCAGTTCATCCTTTTATAAAACTGACTAGTTCAGTTCATGTTGTGTTCATCCAAATGATCGTTGGTAATATTTTTCACCATTCACTATTATGTTACAAGATGCAATGCTGAAGTATAAAATATACATAAGAACACTAAGAAAGCATAAGCATTGAAACATACACACACATACAGAGAGAGAGAGAGAGAGGGGAAGGGATGTGAATTGTTTAAAATCCACCAACGATTAAAAAGTATAAATATGTGTAAAAAAAACAAAACATGCAAAAGAATGGACTTGAAGATGAACTAGAAATTATTAGATTCCCCGCTCCCCAAAAAGTCCCATTTGGAATGCAGAACTTCTAATTGTTTTAGATCCCACCCAATATTATTATTATGGTCCGTTATTCTTCAAAACCTTTCCAGAGACTTAACAATGCCTCCATCATAGCTTGTTTTAAACCGTACATTTTTCTATGAAGTGCAATAGTTATTGGATGGCAGAGTCAAGATAATTGATGGTAATTGGTTTTTTGTAGGGGGACATCTTCAAGGAGCTCATTTTGCTTCGGAATCTTGCAGTTTAGGATAGTTATATTCAGCTGGCATAATAAAGCAAATGGGGATCCTTCAAGAGATTGAAATTTGCATATTAAATAAAGGTATATTGATTTCTCTCGTGGAAATATACCAGGCCAAGACACAATGTTTCATATTTAATATTTCTTCTGGTACTTAATTTTTTAATAGGTTGGTAACATGTAGAGTGTCTTGGCCTGCTTTACTCATCTTTTTTAGCGATATTTTTCTGAGGGAGGGCTTTTCAAATACCCAGTACTAGGTAATGGGTGACTTTAAATTTGCATATATTTAAATGAATAACAAAATGCTAATATACTATAGCCACCTTGAGGGGTGGTAATCTTACTAGTACTACAACAAATGAAGTTGAAAGAAAACTATTTTTATAATGATGACACTTCAATTATACTATTGTTTTAACACTGTCAGTGAGTTTTGCAGAAGCTGTAAAGAGTACTCTGCTCAAACCAAACCAAATCATTTCTTTTTTAAAAAAACTGATCTACAAAAATGTAAAGGTACATCCTAAGATAATTGCATTACATTGCTAATGCAAATCCTATTTAAAATAAAATTTGAGTCAATTAGGTTATATTCATGGATATAAAACCTTTTGATTAAAGAGCTGCTCTTTATTAAACCAGGAAATGCATTTTAAAATATATTAAACTATATATTTTAAATCCAAGTATTTGTAAAAACTGCAGGCAGCAGGCTCATCCCTGGTTTTTTCCACACGGGTATCTATTGTGTGGCACATACATACATACATACATACATACATAATCTGCAAATAACTGATATATGATGCTCTATTTTAAAACTCATTTTATTCCCCTTCAATTTTATGCAAATTTGATTGATTACTCAATTTAACCTTATATGGTTGATATGAGTTAAGGTTTCATTAATGGTGTGACAATTATAAAAATTAAGAGCAAGTTCTTAAAGCATTTTTTCAGCAAATAAGAAAGCACACCAGGATCATTTTCTCCTTATAATTGTCTCATGAATTGTAGATAGGTGAGGATCCTGCCCTGCCCCATCGCCGCCCGCAGCTTGGGATACCTGATAGCACAAGATTTCCTTTTGTTTTTCATGTCATAGATTAACAAACACTTACCAATCTGTGATTGTAAAAGGAAGCAACTAAAAATAGGAACGAAGTCTACCAAAGACTGTGGTAAATATATAAAGTTATGACCTAGTGATTGATAAATTATAGCAATTTCGAATCAATATGAAATTCCTATGTTCAGTCGTATTCATTCTGTCATACTGGCATCAGTTTAAATGTATGTGATGGGGGGGGGGAATGACAGAGAATTCAGTTACATAATCCATTAACCAAGATGGTTCAGCAGAATCAATGTCACATTAGGTGCTTCATGGCAGCCAGTTGCTGGAAAACAAACAACAGAAGCCACATTCTGCAGAATGTTTTTGCACAGCACTCCACCTTTGCTTCCCCAGGGTCCCTGAAAAAGAGTGCCGCTTTTGGGTCTATGCTGAAGATTGCATGGTGACTGGAAACAGTGCAGGATGCATCAACCTGACTCCTAAATGTACGGCATGCTACAAGAGTTATTGGGCTTCTTCACACTGGCATCCAGGCTTCATGCAAAGTGCTGCTTTGATCTGTTTGAAATAATTGTTATGTTGTATAGAAGTGCCATATTCTTCATACTCTTCACAGGCGGAGAGAGATCTGTCAGGAAACAGTGGACCGACGTAAAGTAAAGGCATTCCTTACCATAGGTAAAATATTGTTCAGGTGAAATATTGTTTGTGTAGATTCTTTGTTCATTCTTATTATATACATCAATTTTATTCTAGCACTCTGCACGTAGCATGCTTGCTTGCTTGCTTATTTATTTACGAGACATTGTTTCACACAAAGTATTGGGTGAAACATACAAAGTATTAACTCTGGGGTTCGGGTTGATTTAAGTTAGGGCTAGTAGCCTTTTTTAAATAATATTTTTTTCTGTAAGAAAAATAATGGTTATTCAGGTGAGGGCCTTGGCAAGCCACCATGCCTTGTCTGTTCTGTTTCTTGTCAATAATATTACTTGGTACACATCTCAGTATCTTAATGCATAAGATATAGAGTTATTTTTTTCTCTCCTTCTCTGACAGAACTCAATCAAAATACAGCCCCTTCAAAGATTTCAGCCAAAACAGAAATATCCATAATAAGCAGATTCTATCAAGGCCTGGCTCTTAAGACTCTTACATTTGTGGTTAGCAATGTATTATTATTGTTGTTCTATGATTTTCTAGTGTTTAAAAGTGCGCTACTTGCTGGTTAAAAACAAAACAGAGGAGAAAACAAGGGAAGTGAGGAATAAGGGATTTTTGCATACAATAATGTTTATGAATAAAAATGGAAATTTAAGTAGAAAAACAAAATGTGAACTATTTTATTTCACAAGAGTCCTCCCATCCAATATTTCTTTTGGTGAACACTTAGAAGCCAGTGGTGAACTTCGCCATTCCCTGTCATGGATGTAACTATACACAAAACTGAAAGGTTTCCCTCGTCCTGTTAATGCTACAGTGAGCAAAAACTTCGAAAACAGAGAAGGACAGATTTGGCTGAGGAGAAAGAGGTTGAACAGTTATTTTTATCATAATGTTATTTGTTGAGGAAACTCTTTTTTTGTTCTTTGTTTCAAATTAAATAATCTTGACTTTCTAAAGTCCAGTGCTATGCTTTACTACATCAGCCTAGGTGCTCAGAATGAACACAAAAGCAGGATGTTAGCAAAGCTAGGCAACATCCCTGACAAAATACAGAGAGATAAATGTTTAGGATCAGAGTACTAGTCAGAACCACTACCTGATAACTGAATGAACCCTTAAAGATGAAGAAACAGAAGAACGGAAATGTTTCTAAAAGAAACACTGGCAGATTATAAATTTGAAAAATTAATAGGGGGAATGTTGGCAGATTATGGGAGTGACAATTAATACACTTCTGTTTATTACAAAGGAAATGCATAAACAACATGACAAAATTTGGTGGCATTTTAGATGTCCTCATTAAAGGCCGATGGCAAAATTCCAGCCGATCATATTTTAGCCTGATCTTGTCCAGAAATATCTAAGGAAACCTATGTAGGATGAGGTTTGTAACTGCTATCTTCAAGTCACACAGGCAATATCTTTCTCTCCTCCACCCCCGCTCTTTAAACTGGGAAGAAAGAAGTTGCTGTAATTGTAATATTTCTTGTACTGTATCTCACTCCTCTGCAGTTGCACACAGTGCAGTGTACAAAAATAAAAAACAAAACAGCCATTTATATTAAAAGCAGCCATTCAACACCATATATAATAAAGTAAGCTTTAAAGCCTGAGGTGGCAACATGGTCAGTCAAACAACCATTAAAAGCTTTCAGAAACAAAAGGGTTTCAATTTCTTTCTAAGAGGGAGAACCAAACACGGTTGAAATGGAATTAATAACTTAATGAATAACTGTTGCCTAGCTTGCTTTTTTTTTTTAAGGCACAGCATTTTAACAGTTAATTTTCCATAGTCACCATTGTAACCAATTCTGTAGTGGTGACATTGACTCAAGTATTCACTGACATTGACCAAAGGATGACAAATGGGGAAATAAAGATGTTCAGATGTTCTGGTTCAGCTACGTTTTACTCAGAATACCATATTGACTGCAAGTCCTGCTCCCTGCCTTGCATCCTTTTTCCACCTGTCCTAGAAAGGCAGGGCCCCGACTGACTCCAGCTACAAAAGCTGAGCCTGCTGGGTATTGATTAGGAGGCGGTTGGGGTTTTCTGGCGAAGGAGGGGTGTTGTTACTGCTATTATTGATATTTTTTAATCTTTATTTTAGATTTATTATGCAGAAATGTATGCGGAAATTGTGTTTTTTATGTGGAAATTGTTTTAATTTGATTGTTTACTTCTTAATGTTTTATTTATTGTTTATGGCTACTTTTGTTATGTTTGTAATTATATATTTTTCATGTTGTAAGCTGCCTTGAGCATGGTTTTAACTATGGAAAGGTGGCATACAAATAAAATTATGTATGTATGTATGTATGTAGACTCATTGAAAATGGACCTGATTTAATTGTTTATTATATTTACTGGGATAACACAGTAATATGGGCAACATATTTGTTGTTGTTGTTGTTAGGGTCTACTCTGAATACAACTTAAACGCCCTCCACCGTTTGTAAACATACTTCATGTGGAACCTGTTTTAAATTTCCACTTTCTCATATGCATGTTTAATTTGAGTGTTAAAGCTGCCAGAGGATTTAAATAAATAATAAATATAAAATGTCCAGTTATCCATGAAAACTCAGATAGCAATGATCGGTGGGACCATATAGGAAACGTCGCATTTCTGTGACTTGGAGCGGGTAGCAAATTTACACAGGTTACAGTTGCCGCCTTTTCACTACAAATTTGACTGCCTGACAGAAAGCAGCAAAAGGAATGAATCTAAAAGAGGATTGAAAAGTATCCTGCACTAAGGGATATTAGGCCGAAGTGAACAGAAGGATTGCTGAAAGGATATTACTCCCTTTTTAAATCTGGGGCACATGTTAAAAGTTTCCCTCAGGCAGCACATGCATTGCTTTTATTTCTTCAACACATAACCTGAACTGACAGTAACCTTGGCACCAATACATGGGCAATATTTACAAAAGGATGCACCATTTCTGAACAATATCTCCCTAATGTAGGATAGGCAGGCTTTTCTTGATCATCAGGCATGCATGTCGTCTTGGTCCAGCAATTTTGTTTGCAGACAAATGTAGTCATTGTGGACCCAGAAAAATAGAGAGAGAGAAAATTGCTATTCTGCATTGGAGTTTTTGTTTCCTTTTATCATTCTGCACATGTCCTAAGGCGGTACATAGAAGTTTGCTTTGTATCAGGCTTTTAATTGGTGTGAGCATGTCTGGCTTCTTCACTACAAAGTTTCTGGCAAATGCTGGAGACACACCTCTTCACCCTGGCCTTTCCACCAGATCTAAGAGCCCTATCCCTGTGATTGTAATCTGTTTTTTAAAAATTTAATTCTGAATTTTAAACTGTTGTAACCTGCCCTGGGTCCTGCTGGTGAAAGATGGGGAAGAAGAAGAAGAAGAGGAGGAGGAGGAAGAGGAGGAGGAGGAGCAGGCGAATGCACTAATCCCATCAATGTTACAAAACCACTGGGAGTTAAGAGGCTGGTGCACTCATTTGTGTGTGAGAAAGACAGTTTGCTCTCCCTTGCTCTTCTAATCCCCACCCTTTTGGCCCAAGACAAGGCTAAACAATTTTCTTGGCAGCAGCAGATGAGACAGCAGTAGTTCCTCCAGGCTGGGTAAGTGGATGCACCTGGCCCATCGTGGTCTTGAATAGATGAGAATTCTCCCACACTGATGCATGAAACCACCCATTTCATAAGCAACCCCACACTGACAAAGGCTGCCTCTGTCCATAAGATCCTTGGAAACTGGCAAAAGGGGCAAATGGAAGTTTCTGAAAGAACCTTGCCACAGTGATGAATTCAGCATTGGTGAGAACAAGCACAAGAATTTAGCTACATGGCAAGGGGAAATGATGGCTTCGCACCAAAGCGAGAGGTACTGCCAAATTCAGAAAGGCTTCCATAATTATATTCTGTCACAGCTCTTTAGAGAATTCATCTCTCTCAGTACGGCATCTCATAACTTTTAGTTCAAGCCATGGCTGCTACCAGAATAGATTGTGCCATTTTTGCCGAAATGTAACAGGATCTGTTGGCATTTATTAAATGGGAGGATGTGCTTTGAACACACGGACAGGCCTTTCACTGGTTAGTTTATGGAAAACTGATTTAATGGAGAGAAGATCTCATTTGCAGTATATTAGGGACCACAACCATAACTCCCAAGTCTAGACAATTGGCAATTCATTGTAAGTGAGGCAAACTTAATAGTCACTGCAGGTGACAGATTGCATTGTGAAGGCAGTCTGCATTCTCTAAGGGTAGATCTGCTCCACATTGACTCTTGGATGTGGGAGGGGATACTTTCTGGGGATACTTCTAGATCTATTAGTTGTTTTTCTGCTAAAACACTGAAGTTTTAGAGGGAATGTATTCAACATCTATTCAGAAGCAATTCCATTCTGCTTTTTTATTTGCTTAATTTATATCCCACTTTCTCAAAGGAGTGAAATGTGGCATTCAGCCTTCCTATGTTCTGGAGTTGAATCTTGGCACTCACTCCAGGGCTGACGTTTGGTGAAGTCTGGCACAGTGGAGCCTTTGGACCTATGTGCTACATAATAATATATTTTATAATTTCAGTGTTCATTAAACTTATGCTTAGGCTATATAGTGACAAAATTAGACATCAGGAAAAATCAAAGGTTTTTGTCCATCATTGCTTTTTTAATTTAATAAGCTTTGTGCATTGCACATACCCTGCAACATGCTGAGTCCCAAAACCAGGATGTGTGCCTTCCCGTCTGGGCTCCCAGGCAAGGTTATGTGACCCGCACGACACCATGGAGCCCAAATATGCATCTTTTGGGGCACCACACAAATTCGCAGCCCCCCAAAAAGCACTTTTTCAAGGCAAGATCTCGGCATGACATCATGCAAGATCACAGTGCCCACAATGGCCACTGTGCTCTCACAGAAAAAATAGGATGTCCCGTGTTTTTCGAGGACACTCGCGACGTATGCATTGCATAAAATAACAGAGGTTTTTAAAGGTTAAGTGAAAAACTTAGTTTAAATCCCAAGAAAATGTAAGATCCTCTTTAAAAAAAAATCCAGGAGAGTTCAAAATCTTAGCGTTAAATACAAAAAGGATGCATTGTACCAGTGCTGTTTTTTCCTGGGGGTATGCAGGGGTACACATACACCTAAACATTTTGTGAATCTTTATACTTTTGTCCATTTACTGTATTTATTTTCCCCGATTTGAACTATAATATTGTGATTTTCTTGAGTCAAAATAACAGTACCCCTAAACATTTTTTAGGGAAAGCAGCACTGCATTGTACACATGAAAATTACCAGCATTAAAGAGTTTTTAAAATGTCAGTCAGGAGGGGATGTTACGTATGATGGGAATAAACAGCAAACTATCAATCAGTAAAAATAATATATAAAGGGGGGGGTGGTATTCAACTATATTTTTAGTCAGAGTAGACTCAATGAAATTAATAACCATGACTACGTTAGATCCATTAATTTCAGTAAATTTGAGTAAAATTTCTGAGTAAAACTTAGTTGACTACCACCCAGGATATTTAAGCTACAAATATATCAATATAAGAAATACCCATTTATACAGTATAGTTTATAGAGTATAGTTACCTTGACTATTTTTTTGCACCTAGGCTAATGAGTTAAATGGAGAAAAACTGGGCCATTCTGCAGGCATGAAAATCTGAAGTTAAATAGAATTGGAGCATGCTGTTCTTCATATTTAAGAGGAAGTGAAATTAAAAATAATCCATCTAAGGAAGAATAATTTAGCATGAATTGACCAGATAGTACAGAGCTTGATTCCTGAATAGGTAAAGTGAAACAGCAAACATACAAAGGCCAATCCAGTTTTCTCTCAAAGTTCATGTGTAAGTGTTTATCTATACAGTATATAGACATTTGAATGGGTTAAGAAACTCAAGGCTGTACATCAAGATTTGCCTTAGACTTTATTTTCTAGAATGAGTCATACCTTAATAGACAGCACTGCAAAATAGTACCTACAATAAGTAGGAGGTCAAATTTCATTCAACCTAAATAGGAACTGTGCAAAGAGGACTAATTATGTATTTTCTTCACAACTAAACTAAATATATTACCAGAATTAAGTCCCACAGAGTTCAGGGATACAGTGGTACCTTGGGTTACAGACGCTTCAGGTTACAGATGCTTCAGGTTACAGACTCCGCTAACCCAGAAATAGTACTTTGCTTCAGTGGTACCTCAGGTTAAGAACTATATATATAGTTGGGGAGGGCGGCGTATAAATAAAAAATATTATTAATTCGTTCTGGAGGTGCGTTCTTAACCTGAAACTGTTCTTAACCTGAGGTACCACTTTAGCTAATGGGGCCTCCCACTGCCGCCGCACGATTTTTGTTCTCATCCTGAAGCAAAGTTCTTAACCTGAGGTACTATTTCTGGGTTAGCGGAGTCTGTAACCTGAAGCATCCGTAACCCGAGGTACCACTGTATTTGCTTCTAGGTAAGCATCTATATAGGATGTGGGTGGCGCTGTGGTCTAAACCACAGAGCCTAGGGCTTGCCGATCAGGTCGGCGGTCCAAATCCCTGACGGGGTGAGCTCCTGTTGTTCGGTCCAGCTCCTGCCAACTTAGCAGTTCGAAAGCACATCAAAGTGCAAGTAGATAAATAGGTACTGCTCCAGTGGGAAGGTAAACAGTGTTTCTGTGCGCTGCGGCTTAGTCATGCTGGCCACATGACCAGGAAGCTGTCTGTGGACAAACGCCGGCTTCCTTGGCCTATAAAGCGAGATGAGTGCCACAACCCTAGAGTCATTCGCAACTGGACCTAATGGTCAGGGGTACCTTTATCTTCACCTTTAAGCATATATAGGACTACAGTCTCAATTGTTAGGTGTTAAAATCATGCTGCTGCTATACTCTGTGTACTAAAGACCCACAAACATTTCAGTCAGGATTCTGTTTTCAGATAGAAAACTGATCATGTAGTTAGCAAGTTATGTCAATCAAGATAAAGACAGTAGATTATAAAATGTTTGCAGTATAGAAATGGATAAAACAGCTAAAACTAAGAAAATGAAAATTATGAATCTTTGAAGAATAAATACATTATATTTATATCTGTTCTGGGCTCTGGATTTAAACACAGAGAACAGATTTATTGGCAGTATTTGTTCACAGTGGAAGCTATAAATTGTAATAAGCTCTGGGGTACGTGATCCCACACAGAGCTATTGCTAACCACACACCATTT